ATTCAATAGATATTTTTAAATTATTCAGCTTCAATTAGTTATTAAATATTTAAAAACAAATTTTTACTTCAAAAATTTTATAGGAGAATATAAGAATGACTTGGCACGAAGAAAAGTCTATCATTTGTAATTTTTATAAATTATTTTAATATGTAATTTTAATTTTGCAGAGTAAATAGCTTTTGAGAAATTAAATTATTTAAGCCAGACCTAGAACTGTTGATTTTGAAATGATTGAAGACCTTGAGAAAAATGTTAAAATTAATATTTTTTATTTTAAAATAAGCCAATTTTAATGGAAATGTGCTATAGAAAATTCCATTTCTTCATTTTTATGTGACAAAAGAACAACAAAATATGCTAAAATTGTTATACATGAAGCCAAACAATGTTTACTTTCCAATATATACAATCCAAAAATTAAGTTTTCTATCAGGACTGGAAGGAGTTATGATCATGATTATGCGATATTAAAAATGTTGAAATTAAGAGAATTAATTGTCTTAAAATTGGTTTTCTTATTTAAAATTAATTTTTTTTATTTTAAGGCGTTAAGATGGTTGGTTTATTTGATGAATTTGATGAATTATGAATTATTTGATGAAAACAAAACAAATTTACCTCTACAAATTCATTGTCGAAAGCTCATGTTTGTTTTGGGCATGGTGATATGGAACAATTTCTGAATTTTATTTATAATTATTTATTTGCTGATGAAGTTTCAATTGATATTGGGCGCAATGCTGAACCAAAAATTAATATTTTATTTGAACGTATAACTACTACTCAAGAGAGATTTATTTGTGTTTCTGTTAACCGTCTTTCTCTTCTTCCCCAAAACCTTTATGAGCTTATTATACAAGTAATTTTAATTGATTTTTAATAAATAGGAGAGAAGTTTTGAAAATTAATTTTTTAAATAATTTTAAATCATTTTAGCATATAGAAACATCAAAAGACATTTTAAAAATGGCAAAGAAAATCGAAATAAAAGATGTTTATACTCCTGTTGAATTAAGTGAGAGAGCAGAAAATATTATCTTGACAAATTAGATAATACCATCAATAAACATACCTGGTAGGTAGGTTTATTGATGGTTTGGCTGTTTTGCTCTTTTTGTTTTTGATTATATGAACTTATTGTCTAGCTAAATGTCGCAAAAAAGGAACGATTAAAAAACAGGTGATTTTATAAAAAAGGAGTGGAAAAGAAAATGAAAGAAAAAAAGTCAACTAGTTAAAGCCTCTAATCTGGAATGTGCGAAACATAAAATAAAATCAATTCCTGGATTTTGCTAATTAATCAAACGGTCTCGTATTCCTGGTTAAAATTATATTTTAAAATTAAATTAAATTCGAGGGTGCGCTTCTAATTTCTTAACACCTTTTTTGAGGAGTTAAGAAATGTGAATGGCATTGTTCAAGCTTGGCAGCTGCTTTATACTCTGTTGCTATGCTATTAAATTTACAAACATCTCAAAACCAGAAACAGAAATTACAACATCTACCACTATCAATAGAGCAACAACAAATGGAATGCGAAAAGTAAACAAAAGAAAGGCAGCAATCACTACTATTGCACCAGAAACACACATGGAAATTCCTCAAATGTATTATTAGTTAATATATTGAATTCTTAAGATTTAAGAAATTTTAGAATGCGCACCATGACTTGCAACAATCTCTAATCCTCCAGCACTATAAGCCCCTATGGAAACTTCTAAATGAAAAATAGGACTGAAAGTGCTAACCTCATTTATTTCAATCTAGCTATTTCTTCAATCTACTATTTTTTATTATTTCACTCCACCTACGTATTTCCACCTATTTTTTAATTTGTTATACTCATATATGTATTTATATATTTTTATATTATTTTAAATATTATAATTTCAATAAATATCCCTTTCCTTATAATTAGAATTATATTTTTTATATTAAAATATTTTGGGCAATATTGAACCGTACAGACCTTCCTTTTTTCCTCCACAATTTTTCCCCATATTTTTGCAAAATGGTCATACTTTTTCCTTTCTCCTATCTAAATTGCTTTTCTGACTTTTGCCTTCAATCAAACAAAAAGGATTGTTTAATTTTATACTTAGAAAAGTGAAATAAATTCTAAAAACAGTCAAAAGGAGGAAAAATATAGGGGAAAATTGGGGAGGAAAAAAGGGGGTCTGTCCGGTTCAATATTACCATATTTTGTAGTATCATATCCTTATCCTTATCAGATAGAAATTCTATTTTTTAGTGTAGGAAAGCCCTTTTGTCTCCAACTACCAATTAATCAAACTCAAAAAATTAGGAATAAATTCCAAAAATTTTCTTTTGTGGTGCCAAATATATTTTTTTACCTTCTTTGGAAACATCCAAAATTTAGTTTAATAAGATACTTTCATTTCTTTACTTATTTTTAAATACACTATATTTCTTCTGAGCGCCTAATTTTAACAAAATATAAATATAAAATAAATTATTTAAGATAAAACCTCAATTTAACCAACATATTTTCTATAAGTCGCTGACTTTCCATCTATTTTCTGATTTACATTCCTTAAGATGTTGGAATTTTTGAACATTAAACACAAATTTTTACTTTAGATTTAAAAATGTTCCATTTCGAGAAGTCAACAAAAGTGGAGAAAAAAACCAACCTTATGCTACAAAGGACATAAATTTCATCCAAATAAAGAACAAAAACATGGAAAGACCCTATATGTGCAAATTAAATAAAGACAAAAAAGTACGATGCAGGGGCTCAGTCTGGATGCAATGGCATCGTCGTATTCTTTCAGAAACTCCACATCAATGTGATAAGGTAGCATAATATTAATTAATATTCGGAAAACAAACCCAATGAAAAATAGTTTATTTAAAATAAGAGTCACTTTTCTTTATACTCAACCACTCCCACGGGCTGAAACTTTGAATTGGCATAAACCTGGCCCAAAGTCATTTTGCACGAAAATTGAATGGTATCGTACCAAAAAATATATCAAACTCACACTTAAATAAACAATGTTCCCTTGTGAGTAAAGGTACACAATTCGTCGAACTATAAATCAATTTCCTAAATATTTAAAGGTTTTAACGCCTGGAGAGCCAACAAGCACATCACAACAAGAAGCAATCAACATCACAACAACATCAGAAGCACAACCTTTACAACAACAGCAGCTTTCTTGTTGAAACTGAATGAATTTAGGATGAAAATGAAGTTAATTTTGAAGGAAATAGAGTTGAAGTAGAAATTGCTACTGAAAAATCATGATTCAAACCAACCTCAACATCCTCATCAATCCCCAAAACCGTTGAAATTGTGAGTGGATACACTTATGTGCAAAAGTAATGATCCCTATACCTTCAATTTTTTAAAAGGAGAATATCTATGTAAACCAACTTGAATGAGGAGTATTTAAAAAAAAGTCGAGAGAAAAACTTTAAGAAAATTCTCCTTTTACACAATTCAAGCTATAGGGATCATTACTTTTGCACAGGAGTGTAAGTCTTTTTATATTTTATTTAATTTTCGTAAAACATGGGGATGGTTTGGTAATCTTTTGCTTCATTGCTTTCCAGAAAAATTAGGAAAAAATACTTTGATGATATTTTCGAGGTTTGAGAGTAGATAATGGAATGGGCTAAGGCCGAATTTAACAAGGAGCCATATTAAACTGTCACCAAAAATTTTTAAAGTATTTGTATACCATCGTGTAGAGCAGGGTCGATTTCCTAGTGCCAGTTTTTTCTCTTTCGACCCTACCCCTAACTCGGAAAGTTATATTTTTGAAGAATACAAAATATTTCGACAAAATATTTTTGACCCGAATCGATCAATTTGAATTCGGGGTAAATGTTCGAAATTAAACTTTAAGCCTGAATTTCCGATTAAGCCCGAATTTTCAAGAGAGACTCAATTACCTACTGGGAATCCCTGGGCTTCGTTATTCTGAGAGCTTTGAATCATTTCTTTAATCTTTTAATAATTATTTCATAATTAAGCATACCAACAATGTTCTTTTTAATAAGCAACATATTCCAAACAGCTCATCTATTTTGGACGTTTATGATCAAGAAGAAGAAGAAGAAATTTTAATAGACGAAACACCACACGAAGAAATTCCAAAATCACCAACTAATAAAGATGAAAAAACATCTCTTGTATTTTCTCTTCCGTCTGAAGTTCAACTAGATATATTTAAATATCTCAATTTCGATCAATTATTATCCTTTCAACATACAAATACTTATTTCAAAGATTTTATTGAAAAATTCGAGAAGAAATTGCCACGGAAGAAATAATTTACTAGATATAATAATTTTTATAAATTTTTTTTAATAATTGTAATCTTTCAGAAGTGTAATCTGGTCTATTTTTTAAACATACAAAATTATTTCAACCAAATCCCAAACTTTATGATTTTCAATTGAGTAAAGAACTTGAGGAAAAGGTTAAAAATTAATATTTTTTATTTTAAAATAAATCAGTTGGCGCGCCGAACTTTGCGGATTTTATTTGCGGACCCGAACTTTGCTGAGCATAGGAAATTTTAGAAATTTAAGCCTACTGAGTTAAATTTGTTGAATTTTGTCTTATCCCTTTGAAATGGTCATCTAAATGATTTCTATAAAGAATTTTTTCGCTTATTGAAATAATTTTGTCGCAAAAATTGATAAAAACAACTTATTTTAAAAAATTAGGAAAAAATCTTGAGTCCGGCTCAAAATCATGTAATTGTCAGTCCTAAAAAAACAGGTCCGCAACTTTCGGGTCCGCAAAATTCGGGTCCGCAAAGTTCGCGCTACGAATCAATTTTAGTGGAAATGTGCAATAGAAAAATCAATGCCGTTGTTTTTATGTAGCATTGTTCCATGTGAATTAGCTTCAGTTGCTATAGATGCCTTTTGTTAGTTTGTTGTTCGAATGATAGTTTATTTATCATTTTTATTTAGATAACCATAATGAATTTAAAAGAATTCCAATAAATATTGAGGAAATGAAAATTGCTCGTTATTTATTTGGACATCTTTTTAGATGTACTTTTGATTATTTATGGTTGACTAATACAATAATTAATCAAGAAATGGTTGAATTATTATTTGATGAAAACAAAACAAACAATTTACCTCTACAAATTCATTGTCGAAAGCTCATGTTTAGTTTTGGGCATGGTGATATGGAACAATTTCTGAATTTTATTTATAATTATTTAATTGCTGATGAAGTTTCAATTGATATTGGGCGCAATGCTGAACCAAAAATTATTAATTTATTTGAACGTATAACTACTACTCAAGACAAATTTGGTTGTGTTTCTGTTACTCGTCTTTCTCTTCTTCACCAAAACCTTTATGATTTTATCACACAAGTAATATTAATTAATTCTTAATAAATAGGAAAGAAGTTTTGAAAATTAAATTTTATAACAATTTTAAATCATTTAATTTTAGCATATATAAACATCAAAAGACATTTCAAAAATGGCAAAGAAAATTGAATTAAATCATTTTTATACTCCTGTTGTATTAAGTGAAAGAGCAGAAAATATCAAAATTTATTTCTATCCATCATATACAACATATGAACTTACCAATATACACAATCCAAAAATCAAGTTTTCTATCAGGATTGGAAGTGGCACTGATGGTGATTGGGTCGAAATAAAAAATGTTGCGATTAAGAGAATTAATTGACAAAAAAACGTGTTGTGATTAAGAGAATTAATTGACAAATTAACTTTTTTCTAAGACTACACCTCAAAATATCCAAAACCCAGAAGTTTATTCAACCTTTACTTTTGACCAAAATGCACATCATCTTTCACCTACAACACAACAAAGACCACAGTTTACCGCTTATAATAAAACCTATGCAAAGAGACTGCTTGCTTTATCCGCTGGCGCTTATTCATATACACCACCAAATGGATGTGAAAAGAGGTAAAAAAGAATTTTCTTGGCTTCGATCTAGTCAATTGTACCCAAAAGATTAACGGGGGGGGGGGCAATTTCCGTGTTGTGATTTTGGATTTACTAAAAAACCCATAGTAAAAAATAAATATTTTTGCGGGTCGTTTTCGAGGGACAAAAACCTCCTCTAATCCAAAACCAATTTTCTATATTAAAAAATTTCTTTTTGAATATTAAAGATGGATGCCTGATACGCGTTTATGGAGTTCTGTTAATCAGACATATGATGCTTTGGAAAGCACTTGTTCCTCCTACACGGTTTGTAAATTTAGGGGATTTAAAAGTTTTTTATCTGACGGGTTGAGATATCTCCCAATCGTCTCTGAAAGTTGGCGGTCAATTCTAAAAAATGCGAAGAGACAAAAAGGGGACCGGTTTGTGAATTGAAAAAGTATATTTGTGATGATTTATTCCCTTTAATCCAAAGATGTTTCTCAAGATGTTTCTCTTCGATCCCAAAATTGCGTAGAAACAAAAAATCTTTTTTTATAATTTATTTTTGTTAAATTTTCAGATTGTATCTGAACAGCGTTGTGAATTAATTATTGTTTTTCGAAGGACAAAAAATCAACAATTATTTCTGGAAGGATGGCAAAGCTTACAACCTGGCGTTGATTTTGATCGAATTTACTTCTTGGCGCTCTTGAATCATTAGCCTCAGCATGAACAGTTAAATCAGAAATTAGAAGGTTTAATTTATTTTTAGAGTATTGAGCCGAGCAGGAATAATTTTAATTTTCGATTTCCCTTTGGAATTATTTGCCAGAGATGTCACTTGTGTAGGAAAAACCTTAAGGAAACCCGACCGACCTCCGGGTCGTGGTTTTGTTGCCTTTTGAAAATCTTTCAAGGGTGTGGGGTCAATCCCAAAATGTCTCTCAAATATCTCTAGATGTGGGGTCGGTCCTATAAAGAAGTGGAGACAAAAAATCCCTTTCTTGTCGCGGGATAAAAATTAATAATAAAATAAATAAAAAATCAATTAATATATCCCTTTACAATTTTTATTCCGCGATCAAATTGTTGACACACGTGGAAGAGCAAATTTTTTAGGTTTTTTTTAATTTTATTTTGAGTGTTTTTTGCTCGACGGCTTTGCGGACGCAAAGTTGCTGACCTGATTTTTTAGAAAGTTGCTGACCTGATTTTTTCGGACCCGAAATCACTTCACCGTTCAAAAATATTTAATAAAAAGAATATTTCCTTTTTCAGAATTCTCAATCGATGGACCCAGCAAAACAAATATTATTTGGTACGACAATGGAGAATCTAATATAATGGCTGAATACACAGTTTGTTTTTTATTTTAAATATTTAGTTGAATATTTTAAAGTGTTTCAATTTATTTTTGACCCCAAGTTCGCTTATAAAGCGATTCAATTCCGAATTGATTTTTTTGTTTTATTTTTTACTTTCCCTTATTTAGCCTCATGTTCCGGGTCGTTACACAATCAACATCACCGAAATTGAAACAAATTTACATATAATTGATTCGCCTTTTGTTCTTTGGATTGAACCAGCAAATCTACTTCCTTTTAAAAAGATTGTTCGTCCAATTCATATTCCAGCATTTGAAAGTAACTGGGGAGAAGTTGGCAAACAATATTATTTTAAAATTCCAAAAGAAATTGGTTTGAATTTATTTTTTAACAAAATTGTTTTTAAATTTTTTTATAGAAGCTGAAACAGTTTATGTTAAAATTTATGATCCAAATTTACAAAAAGTTGATTTTGATTGGAACAAAAATGGTGATAATTCTTACAATTTTATGCCGCAAAAGGAAGGAAAGGTTGAAATTATTTACTTTTTTCTTTTATAAAAATTTTTCCTCTGAAGGATTTAATCAGCATCGTTGCTGATAAATTAGCTGTTGAAGATTGGCCGTTTGTTATTTTTGTTAATAGTCCTAGTGATGATGAAGAAATTTTGGAAGAAAAATCTGAAGATGAACAATTACTTTATATGCCAGAAAATAGCAGAAACGAGAAACAATTAATTTCAAGTGTTGGAACTATTGCTTTACCTCCACCAGAAATTCAACTAGATATATTTAAATGTTTCAATTTCAATCAATTATCATCTACTCAACAAACAAATATTTACTTCAAAAATTTTATAACAAAATATAAGAATGAATTGGCACGAAGAAAATTCGCATATCTATCTTTTGTAATTTTTATAAATTATTTTAATATGCAATTTTAATTTTGCAGAGTGGGACGGATCATTTGGATAATAAATTGTTTGAGCTAGGCCCAGAGCTATATGATTTTGAATTGAGTGAAGAACTTGAAGAAAAGGTTTTTAAAATTAATATTTTTTATTTTAAAATCAGTAAATTTAAGTGGAAATGTGGGATAGAAGAATCAATTCCTTTGTTTTTATATGACGACGGAACAAAACATTATGCTGAAATTGATTTAGCTGGAGACGAAAGATGTTCAAATTTGAGGCTTTTTTATATATTTATTTTTTTTATTTAGATAGATTATTTCTTCCAACTACCCCAAAAAATATTGAAGAATTGAAAATTGCTCGTTATTTATTTAAATAGATTTTTGACTGCTATTTTTACCTTATTATTATGATTTATGCTACGGTTAATCCACAAATGATACAATTATTATTTGATGAAAATGAAACAAATATGCCTTTACAAATTCATTTTGGAGCGTCTCAATACATATTAGTGAAAGAACTTTAGATTATTTGTTTGATTTTTTATCAATGCATATAATTACCGTGCAAATGAATTTTTTCCGAAAATAAACGTCACTGAACAAAATATTGATGGTTTATGTAAATTTTTTATGAATGCAGGAGGAAGAGTTTGTAGGGTCTGTTATCATTACCCTTATGCAGAACTTTACAATGTTATTATACAGGTATAATTGTAAATCAATTTTTTAATACAGTTTTAATTAATTTTAGCAAATACAAACATCAGAAGATATTTCTAAAATGATCAAGAAAATTGAATTAGATTACATTTTGGGAGATATAGCAATACCTGATAATGCAAAATATCTTGAAAGGAGAATTGGAAGGTCTAGAGATTCATTATCTGTTTATGGAACCACAAAATTTCAACTTTCCAATAAATACAATCAATATGCTTCTGTCTACATGTTTCTCCGTAGCGTTGTATTTAAAAGACTTAATTGACTTACAACACCGTTCAAAAATAAATTGACTAATATTTATCAAAAATTGCTTTATTGACTTGAAGGTTGTTTGTTTTTAATTTTTTAATTTAAACTAAGTTTTAGTGTAGCATTTATTGACAACATTAACTTGTGTGCTTTATTGGACTTTTATTTGGTATTAAATTTATTTTTTTTTAGTTAATTTTAAATGACTTGGTTTTTTTCGTAAAAACCTTTCCCTTCTTTCTGAAATTTTTTAGAATTATTTTTTCCCATTCCTCACTAAAATGATTTTTTGGACTAAAAGGATTTTTAGTCGTTTTACTAGAATATTCTTTATATTTCCTACATTAGTATTTCAAAAATTTTTTTATTTTTAGTTTTCTCCACAAAAATTGTTCTCCTTGAATTTACAGCACAACCACACTTTAACAATCCCAATATTCTCACTTATTTCTACATTCTACTACAACTTTTATCCTTCCCTTTAAACACTTCAGCAGCAAGATATAAACGACAATATTCTCAAAATATCCAAAACCCAAAGTTCATCAACCTTTACTTTTGACCAAAATGCACAACCCCCTTCACCTACAATACAACAAAGACCACAGTTTACCGCTTAAATGAACCTTGTGAAAAGAAATCGATTGCTTTAGTTGCTGGCGCTTATTCACTTACAACGACAAATTTTTGTTTTTCTGGCTCTTCAACTTTTCTGTAGAGGTTTACTAGTTCTTAGAAAAAATAATAGTCAGCTAATTGTTCCTTCCTTGTAGTGCCCATAAGATAAACGGAAAATGAAGAATTTGAGTATTGCATTTCACTAGAAAGGATTAGGAAAAGAGAAAAATCTAAATCTTCATTTTACCGATATTCCTGAACCAAATCATTTTTTCTAACTAAAAAAATTGATTTTATTTTAAATGTGGTTGCCTGATACACATTTATGGAGTTCTGTTAATCAAACCTGTGATGCTTTGGAAAGTACTTGCTCTTCCTACACGGTTTAGTAAATTTAGGGGAGTAAGAAGTTTTTTATCTGACGGGTTGAGATATCTCCCAATCGTCTCTGAAAGTTGGTGGCCAATTCTAAAAAACGCGAAGAGACAAAAAGGGGACCGGTTTGTGGATTGAAAAAGTATATTTGTGATGATTTATCCCCTTTAATCCAAAGATGTTTCTCAAGATCTTTCAAAAATACCTTGAAGATCATTCAGAGGTGAGGTTCGATCCCAAAGAAGCGAAGAAACAAAAAATCATTTTTTATAATTTATTTTTGTTAAATTTTCAGATTGTATCTGACAAGCGTTGTGAATTAATTATTGTTTTTCGATGGACAAAAAATCAATTATTTTTGGAAGGATGGCAAAGCTTACAACCTGGCGTTGATTTTGATAAAATATACTTCTTGGCGCTCTTGCATCATTAGCCTAAGCATGAACAGTTAAATCGGAAATTAGAAGGTTTAATTTATTTTTTAGAGTATTGTGCCGAGCAGGAAAAATTTTAATTTTCGATTTCCCTTTGGATTCTGGCTATTTGCCAGAGATGTCACTTGTGTAGACTAACCTTAAGGAAACCCGACCGACCTCCGGGTCGTGGTTTTGTTGCCTTTTGAAAATCTTTCAAGGGTGTGGGGTCAATCCCAAAATGACTCTCAAATATCTCTAGATGTGGGGTCCATCCTATAAAGAAGTGGAGACAAAAAATCCCTTTTTTGTCGCGGGATAAAAATTAATAATAAAATAAATAAAAAATAAATTAATATAGCCCTTTACAATTTTTATTCCGCGATCAAATTGCCTAAAGCAATTTGATCTTTCAAGATCAAATTGTACTTTGATCTAGTTTATTATTGCAATTTGATCTTTTAACCAATCATCAATCAAATTCGTTAGTTTCTCACTCCATTTTGTACTTTAAGCAAATTCCCATCTTTTTTATATATCCTTGATCTAGTTTATTTACTTTTTTCTTAAAAAATATGTGATATATAAGCCCATGATTATTGTTCATCGGCAGTTCTCCCTTTTGGGAGGCTCACTCATGTTTAAATTAAGATGTAAATAAATAAATTTTCTATTTACCCATTGTTTATAATTTAGGAGGGGTTTAAAAATAAAAATAAATTACAACCTGGCGTTGATTTTGATGGAATTTACTTCTTGGCGCTCTTGCATCATTAACCTCAGCATGAACAGTTAAATCGGAAATTAGAAGGTTTAATTTATTTTTTAGAGTATTGAGCCGAGCAGGAAAAATTTTTATTTTCGATTTCCCTTTGGATTCTGGCTATTTGCCAGAGATGTCACTTGTGTAGGAAAAACCTTCAGGAAACCCGAACGACCTCCGGGTCGTGGTTTTTTTGCCTCTTGAAAATCTTTCAAGGGTGTGAGGTCAATCCCAAAATGTCTCTCAAATATCTCTAGATGTGGGGTCGGTCCTATAAAGAAGGGGAGACAAAAAAATCCCTTTCTTGTCGCGGGATAAAAATTAATAATAAAATAAATAAAAAATAAATTAATATATCCCTTTACAATTTTTATTCCGCGATCAAATTGCCTAAAGCAATTTGATCTTTCAAGATCAAATTGCCTAAAGCAATTTGATCTTTTAACCAATCTCAATCAAATTCGTTAGCTTCTCACTCCTTTTTGTACTTCAAGCAAATTCCCCTCTTTTTTATATATCCTTGATCTAGTTTATTGTACTTTTTTCTTAAAAAAATATGATATATAAGCCCATGATTATTGTTCATCGGTAGTTCTCCCTTTTGGGAGGCTCACTCATGTTTAAATTAAGATGTAAATAAATAAATTTTCTATTTACCCATTGTTTATAATTTGGGAGGGGTATAAAAATAAAAATAAATTGAAATTATTCGACCCGATCATAACATTCTATAATTTTTTTAATTTTCCAGATTGTCCTTTTTCCTCTCAAAGTCAACAACGAAAAGGAAAAAGTGAAAGAATCCAAAAGCAAAATTTTTGGCCTGGCAGACCACAAATTGGATGAAGACAACAAAGTTATTCTTGCTGAAGTTTTTTTAAGAAATAATTCTTTATTTTTTAGTCTGTTAATGACCTGCTTGTAAAGATGCTTGTTGACCTTGAACTTTTTTTTATATTTTTTTAGAAATTTTAAATGTTTGTTTTTTTATTAAATAATTTTTTATGAGGGACGGAAGCAGGAATTCTAAAATTCATAAAGTAATCATTAGGGGGAGGAGGCCGTAAGCCAACAAAACACCACTCCTGGGTAGGGCCTGCCCATGGTTGCTTATGATCTACAACTTCATAAGACTTGAAGTTGTACATTTGATTCCTTACTATTAGTTGAAGTTTCGATTTTTTGCTTCCTTTCCCTACTAGACCAAATTTTATTAGTTTTTTTAAAGATTGTAATTAAAAATTAAATTAATTAATTAAACTAATTTTATTATAAATTGTTTTTTTATTAATATTGCTTTTTTTTATTTGAATCGTTTTATCAGGTTAAAACCTGAATTTATATTTTTAATTGACATTTCCAGAATAATCAATATTTTAGGTTTGATATGTTGTTTACAGCCCAAAATGGCGCGCGGCAATAACGGCGCAAAGCCATAACTTCCTCAAAAATTTTTTAGCCCCTATCAATTTTGGTACCATTCTCTTTAGCTCGATGGGAAGAATCGTTTGATACTAAATTTGGAGAGATTCGGAAATTTTGAAGCAAGCTATGGCGGTGCGCCGTTATGGCCCGCGCCCATTTGGGCGTCTCCCTGATTTTGCTTCTAAATAAATCAGGCCATCTTTGCTTTTGTGACTAATAAGATTATTCAGCAAACTTTTGTTCCTCAAATAATTTTTGTTTTTTAGTTGATTTTAAGCTCTCCTATTATGAAACATCACAATTCTGAAAAAAATGGCGAGACTCATTCAATTCCTTCAATCGGTTCTTCAATTTCACCTGATTATGCTTTTACTTCTGAACGAGCTGAACTTACTACTGTTTGTTTTTTTAATGTTAGTTTGAAAATTATAAATTAATTCCTATTATAAATATTCCTATTTTCCTTTATTTTACAGTCCCAAGACTACGAAGGTGTTTGGGTTCCACAACAATTAGATTACTCAAAAGTTACATTAAATAATGAATTAAATGCAATGGTACAGAAATTTGCTGAACATTTTCACGATTCCTGGGCTGCACGTAAATTAGACAAAGGATGGACACATGGATTATTATATTCAAGGCGAACAACTAACCATCCTCGACTTGTTCCATTTCATCGTTTACAGGATTATGTAAATTTTTTTGGAATTTTATTTGTTTTTTATTTTTAATTTTCAGGAAAAAGAATTTTATAAAGAACTTTGTGCAGAATGTTTTAGAGCACTTGTTGTTTGGGAATATCAATTTGAATTAGTTGATCATGATGCTAATGAACGTGCCAATCAGAGTAGAGTACTTTCTGGGCGAAATGAGCGTGTAATATATTATTTTTTGAGGATATTCTTTAATTCTTTATTAATTTTCTTAAGGATTTCAATCCTCGTTCTGTTGATCGCCCAAGAAGTCCTTAAATTCTTTCATTTCATGGATATCGAATTTTTAGGTAATTAAAATTTTAGTAGATATCCTAACTAAAAATTAATTATTTTAAAGTTCTTCTGACTCAGTGCATCAAATGTCGATTGTTGACCGTTTCAAAATTGATGGAGGAGCAACAGCTAGTTGCACTACTTTAGGTGCTGATCGTTCTTCTGTTGAAAAGCGTTTTGCTTTTAATTTACTCTTGACGCTTGTTGACTTCGAAATACTCTTGATGCTTGTTGACTGACCTTGGACTTTTTATGGTTTTTTTAGAATTTTTAAATGTTTATTTGTTTTTATTAATTCTTATGGGACGGAAGCAGGGAATCTAAAATTCATAACGTTATCATTAGGGGGAGGCCGTAGGAAACAAAACCTCCTTGGGTAAGGGGGTTTTGTGGGGGAGGGGAGCCTGCCTTGCCCCCCCTCCTGGGTAGGGTCTGCTCTTGGTGTACCTTTGATTCCTTAATTTTAGTTGAAGTTACGATTTTTTGCTTCCTTCCTTCCCATTTTACTACAAAAATTTTATTAGTTTTTTTTAAAAATTGTAATTTTTGTAATTAAAAATTAATTAATTAAACTGATTTTTGATTAAATTGTTTTTTAATTATTATTGCTTTTTTTATTTGAATCATTTTAACAGGTTAAAACCTGAAGTTATATTTTTAATTGACATTTCCAGAATAATCAATATTTTAGGTTTGATATGTTGTTTACAGCCCAAAATGGCGCGTGGCAATAACGGCGCAAAGCCATAACTTCCTCAAAAATTTTTTGGCCCCTATCAATTTTGGTACCATTCTCTTTAGCTCGATGGGATGAATCGTTCAATACTAAATTTGGAGAGATTCGGAAATTTTGAAGCAAGCTATGGCTGTGCGCCGTTATGGCCCGCGCCCTTTTGGGTGTCTTCTGATTTTTTGCTAAATAAATCAGGCCATCATTGCTTTTGTGACTAATAAGATTATTCATAAAACTTTTTTTGTTCCCTAAATAATTTTTGTTTTTTAGCGTTTTAGTTGATTTTAGGCTCTTTTATTATGAAACATCAAAATTCTGAGAAAAATGGCGAGACTCATTCAATTCCTTCAAATATAAATTCAATGGATCAACGACAAATAAATTCTGAAATTCAACGATTCGAATCCGTCCATCCCTGCATTTACCGAATTTATGATTTGATTGGAAAAATAGAGAACAAACACGTTGGGGATCTCGTCAGACAACAAGTAATGAATATTGAAAATGCTTTTGTTAACAGTCAAGAATGGACGCTTGGACGGTCTATTAACGAGATTAAATTGGTTTGTTTTTTAAATTTTACATTTACCAAATAAGGGTACTTGTGGTTATCCACTAGTTTTTGCAGACAGTTGTGTGGGCTCGTGAAGGTCAGATATTCGGGCTCATAATGGTCATAGAATCCCAATATTTCTTTTCAGCCTGTTCCCTCAACTGATTGCATTGGTTCCAAGATTAATAAAAAAATTTAATCCTCTGACCATTATGAGTCTGCATAAATATGTCCGTTAAAACTGGTTTTGGATAATCCACCATTACCTGATCAAATTTCCTTTTTTAAGGGCGTCCTAGGCTCTGATAATTCCTTCAAAAATTCGTTGATTCATCACTTTCTCACACAAAATTGGAATTGGAATGATGCCCCAGAGGGAGGTCGATTTAAAAAAGAGGTGGAGGTTGATGGTCAAAGCCACCTTTTATTGATTAGGGACGAAGGAACTCGAGAACCAAATTTTTTACAGGTTTTTTTGAATTCTTTGAGGAATTTTTAATGCTATTTTCAAGTTTTCCAAATGGATGGATGCCCTTCTTATTGTGTTTTCCCTCGAAAATCGGAAGACATTTCAAGATGCTTTGAAATCACTGGATTTGGTAAATAATCATCGTTCGCTGGATGAGGAGAATGTCCCTATTTTTCTTGTTGGAATGAAGGTTTGTTTTTGTTAAATTTAGATGATTTCCAAGCCATTACTTGGACGTTCGTACCAAATTTCTTATTTGTCACAAAATAAGAGTACTTGGCCAAAAATAGGGTGGAGTACGTAAATGTAGACTGCTGCTGACCAGGTTTTCGAAATTCTGTATCAATTTCTTCCCTTGATTTCGTATCAAGGTCGGATTTTGGAATGAATGTCCAAGTACTGTTTCTGGCCTCTATGTTTGGCTAAAATCTTGTTTTAATTTTAATTAGCCAGATTTTCTTTTAACAGAACATGTGCAGAACAAATTTTCAACGTGCAGTCACAGAGGATGAAGCATATCACACCGCAAGGATTCGTAAAATGCGTGGATATTTTGAGTGTTTGGACGAAAATGATGTTCATCCCGTCTTCAATAATAGTTTCTTTTAAATTATTTTTATCTGGATTAAATTTTGATTTTAAGTTTGTAATTTTGTGGCTCAACAGATGAACACTAGTAAGTGTTGCTCTTCTTCATCCTACCGAGGAAATCAAAACTGTGGAAATGTTGCCATTCCAGTTATTCCTGTAGATAGTGCAATGCCTTCAACTTCTTTTCCTTTGCCCATTCCACCTACAAATTATCGTCATCAACGGTTAGCGTTTGGAGGTTTTTGTTTTTGGGGTAGTTATTGGGTAGTAGTTATCAAGATTTTTCGTTGGAATTTTGAGGAGGTGTTTAAAATGGGTTGACTGCTGTTATTTGATCCAGGGACCCTCCTCTTCAAACCGCGGCCTAATCCGTTCGGCCATCCAAACATCCATAGGCTGGTGCGAATTTATTGTTTTTATTAGCAGCCGATGCCCATTTCCTTTGCTCTCATTTTTTCTTTCGCTAACTGAGCGGCAGGGATTTTTTTGTTTAGACGTTGTCCTACCCATAACTCTCGTTTGTTACTAAAAAATATTTTTTAGATCAATTTCCGTTATGCCAATCAACAATAATGCACATCCTTCCTTTACCTCTTCATATTCCTCTCATAACAACAACATGTTCCAATTAGATCGTCCTCCACGTTATGAAGAAATTTCTACAAAACAACATGGCTTTCCTTCACCTAACATTCTTCACAACAACCAATCCTATTCCTTTGCTGAAACTCCTATAAATTTTGATTCATTTTCCTTAACAGAACATGAACGTTGTGATAGAAGTTTGCAAATTTTTAATTTCTGGATAATTTAGAAAAATTTTTTTGTTAAGGATTTTTACTCAGCGAGCAACAGCGTTACCCACATTTTGGTGTAGAGCAGCAACAATCAAACATCTTTCCTGCCTTTAGCCATTGCAGTCTTGTAGATTCTTCACATTGTCAAATACCTGCAAATCGTTAGTTTTTTTGTTGTCTTGAAAGGTTTACTTTAAATATAGGTAGATTCCGGCCACCTCCGTGGAAGGAGTGTTGTGGATTTGTGGTTTGCCAGGGAGAACATTTTTTGGTTAGGAGGACGGGGTTCTCCTTCGGAGTACGGAGTGTTGGGGATCCGGGGTTTGCCAGGGATAAGGGTTTGGAGAATGGGGTTTTACTTTACTTTAAATTGCATGGATTAATTTTTTCGTGTTTTTGAAATAGGCAGTAGAATTAAGCATAAAATAAATAATCAAAAAATCCCTTCCCTCTCTTCACTTCTTATTTTTGAGGTCAATGGCTCTTATTATAAAGAGCATTTTCCGATTTAAAATGAATAGATTGACTATTAAATTTTTCAAGAAAAATTTAATTCTTTTTTAGAATTAAGTTCAGCTCCCTATACCCGCTCTTCTTCCAACATGCTTCATCAAAATTGTTTTCATCATCACCGTCCATGTAGCGATCCTAACGGTTCCCAATCTCCCAATAATAAATTTGAAGCAGAACAAATTATGGATTCACGCAGACGACAACAACAACAACAATCGATTTTTCCCCAAACACTTTCAGCTGCCTCTTCATGTACTTTGGCTGTAAATAATAATAATGGTTTAGTTGGAAATCCAACACCTGGAAGTACACCAAAAATTGAAAGAAAAAGTAAACGGATTTCAAATATTTTTGTAAGTTTTTAAAGAAATTTTGTAAAAATTTTTAAAAATTTTCCCAGCGAAAAGAACATGTCCCCTCTTCAGAAGAAAGAAAAAAAGAAATTGTTGCTGAAAAAAATTTGGGTGTTGGAAGGGCTATTCCACTCAAGCAAGGGCAATTGTATAAACGTTCAAAAAATGGGTTAAATAAAGAATGGAAGAAGAAATTTGTTTGTCTATATTCTGATGGACGTTTATGTTATCACCAAAATATGAAGGTTTTTTTTATTTTATTTTAAAAAGAAAAGACTTTGGTTGACATGAGGACTTTCACCAGATTCTTCCAGGCTCGTAGCCAGTAACAATATTCAGGGGAGGGGGAATTTTGGAAGGCTGTGGGCCAAAAATCCACATTTTTGCTCAATTCCCTCCTAAAAATTTTTCCTTTTCCCCATTCCAAGGAGGGAGTGGAAAATTCCTCTAGCTACGTGCCTGCCTCGAGTCTAGAAAAAATTAACGAACACTGTTGATTCCTTGAACTTTTGACTTTGTATCTAGGAAAAATTTACGTCTTGATCTTTGATTTTTATTTTTCTTCAGGAATATAAGGAAAAAGAGTCTCGTGGAAAAGAAATTTATTTGGGCCTTGCAACAGTTCGAACTTCAGATAGGCATAAACAAAAAGGAAATCGAAATTCTTTGCTTCCCCAAGAGATTAATCGACAACAAAACAACCGCCAACCTTGTAACAATCCAAATGTGTTTCCCTATGAATTTGAGGTTTCTTTAAATTTTTTGTTTTATTTTTATTTATTCGTTAAGGATAATCTAAAATCGCCAACTGGAGAAAATTCTGAAGGAATAACTGATGGCGCTGAAAATGAAAATTGTGTTGGTGGAATGGTTACTTCAACAAGTTCAAGTGTTTTAATTTCTGGTGGTGGTAGTGGCTTTGATAGAGATGGTGGTGGTAAAAATATTGAAAAGAAAGAAAGTCATAAAGAAAAGAAGAAGAAAGCTAAAAGGATTGGAAGTGGATTAAAAAATGATGAAGGTTTATTTTTTGAAAAAATATTTTTGTTGTTTATATTCGATAGGGTTCGAGCAATTTATTTACAAAAAATGGTTGTTTTGGCCCGATTTATCGATTTTATGCGGTCATTTCTCATAAAAATTATTTTATAAATAGGTTAAGAAAGGTTCTAGCCTGTTTTACGGGCCCATTCTGTCCTTAAATATTTTTAGATTGAGGAGGTTACGTCCTGCTTTTTCTTAAGCCAAATTATCGATTTAATGTGTCTATTTGTCTTTTAATATTTTTTATAAATAAAGGAGGGGTTGACCCGCTTTTTCTAACAATAAGCCCAAAATGTCTGGTTTATTGCCCCGCTGATAGGTGGGTTTAAGCATTGAGAAGAATTTATAGAAACAAATAGAAAAGCAGAAATTCAATTGTTCTTTAGATTTTTTTATTTCTTTAGATGAAGAATGCTGTGAATTTGAAATTGTTTCATGTGATCAAAAAAGCTGGGAATTTAGTGCTTCTAGTGTTGAAGAACGTGATGCTTGGGTATCCGTCATAGAACGTGAAATTGAAAGGTGTTTACAACAAAAACTTTCATTGAAAGATCAACAACAATTGAGCGGTTTATTTTTTGATTAAAATTTTTTTTAATTTTTAAAAAATTTTAGACCAAAGAAACGGCCATAATGGTGATAATAAAGCACGTGATAATTCAGTTAAAGAAGCAACAGAAAATAGAAGGGCAGAAATTCAAGCATTGAGACAAATTGATGGAAATGAAAAATGTGCAGATTGTAATTCTTTAAATCCAGATTGGGCTTCAATAAATTTGGGAATACTTATTTGTATTGAATGTTCTGGAATTCATAGAAAATTGGGGTCACATATTAGCAGAGTTAGGTCTTTGGAACTTGATGATTGGCCGTAAGTTTTTTTTAATTTTGAGTCATAAATGTTTTGGTGAACTTGGAATGAAAATGGGGCATTCCGATAACCTCAAAAATATGAAAAATTATAAGGGTGTATTCTTGAGGGGCTGGAGCTGACATAAGGGCTTTAAGCTGAAAAAAGCTTATTGAACTTCGACTCTTGGATAAGCCCTGCAATTCCTTAGGGGATGGTAGGAGGTCTATAGCTGTAGGGCTCCAAGCTGAAAAGCCTCCCTGAAATCCGTCCCTGGAGATTTCCTTGTAAATTATAGAACTCATCAGAAGCCCCAAGCTCTTGCTGATAAACTTGGAATGAACTTTATTAGCTGTTTCTATCCCGTTAACCCTCAAAAGTATCAATATATTATCAAGGGTGTATTTTTGTGTTGGTGGGGGCTGGTGCTAATGTAAGGGGTTTAAAGTTGGAATCTCTCTGAAATTCGACCTCTAGATATGTCCTTCCAAACTACTATATATCGGGTCCTTCTTTGACTCGACTAAGCCTCACAAACTTTCAATTTATTTAACATTTACTTTTTAGATTTGAACACATAGTTGTGATGCAATCAATTGGGAATACTTTGGCAAAAAAAATATGGGAATATAATGCCTCACCAGCTTCAACTGTTGATATGAATAGGTTTTATTTAAAATTCTTTTTTAATCGAAAAAAAAAATTTTTAAAGCAGAGAACAAAAAGAAAGATGGATTCAAATGAAATATGTTGAAAAATTATTTCTTCCACCCTTGTCAAACGATAAAACACCAATTCAACAATTAGTGGATGCTGTGCTTTCTAGAAATGTATTTAATTTGTTGACAATTCTGCCACGGTTAAATAAGGTTTTTTTTATTAATTTTTTGTTTTTATTTAAAAAATTTTTTAGAATGATATCAATGCCCCAATTAGTGGAAGTAATGATAAAAGAACTGTAGTGCATTTGGCTTGTGGAATTGGTGCACCAGAAATTTTACAATTACTTATTTGGGTATTTTTTAGAATTTAATTTTTACATCCTTGCTAGAGGGTTGTTTATGATCGAGTAGTTCTTGCCTGTGTCGCCACAAGCGAGAATTATCCTCCCCTATTAGAAAGCTCCCTATCCTATTATTCACAAAAAAACCTCTCTCTCTCTCAATAACTGCGTGAGCGATAGCCTATCTTCTTGTTTTTGGGGCTTTTGTCTTTTCCTTCGCTTCGTTTTCAAAAAATTAGGAAAGAAAAAGGGATGGAATGTGGAATTTTGCGGACAATAGCTCCCACAGGCGTGGATTAATCGGTCGTGAACAACTTTTAGCAGTTACCTCACCCTTCTTTAAGTGCTTTTAAGTCTTTTCTATCTATTGTCAGTTACCCACGAAGGGCTCCCTTCCCTATTATCCACAAAAACCCCTTCAACTTATCTCTTAATTTTTTTTAAAGTCCAATGCTTGTATCACTACACTTGATGATCAAGGCCGTTCAGCACTTTGGCATGCTCAATTGAATGGATCCGTTGATTGTATATCTATTTTAACACGTGCAGGACTAAGAGAAAATGATTGTGAATCTGTTACAAAGGAAAACAAAAGTAGGTGATTTTATTAAAAAAAATTCTTTCTTTGCCAAAATTATATCTCTTTAAATTTCATTCATCCCCCTTGTATCTTTAGACTGCTTAGTTTTGTCTAAATTTTTTATAATTTCTCCTTTTTTTCCTTATCAGAAATTTTTTTAATAATGTAAATTTATGATCTCATCTTTTAATATTTTCCCCCTTCCGCAACATGAAAATTTTTATTATTTTTATTATTTTATTTTCTTCCTTTAACACTATTTTTAAATTAATGTTTCCTTTCTTGTCTAGCCCAAAGTACCTAGCTTAAAAAAATTTTTTCTGGGTAGGTAAGTTAGTAATTTTGCTTATATTCTCTAACGACTCCAAAATTTATATGGAAAATTTATTATTGTTTATTTTAAAAATTGTTTTTTATTGTGAACAATAAATTCCTATAAATAATCTTAAAATTTAAGCCTGTCTTTTTTTATTTTATGAGGGTTATGGCCTAGGTGTATTTTTTTGGATAAGATTTGGGACTTAGCCACGTCCCTCTCCCTCCGCTTTTTTTAGAAGTCCTGCAAGTGCGTAGCCCTTGTGGCTTAATCCGCCCTCCACATGAAATGGAGGAAAATGAAAAGGAGGGAAATGATCAAGAAAGTGAATAGCAAGCCCTGTGGTCCTTCTGAAAAAGGGGAAAGCCTTCAATCATGGAATTGATATCTGCTAACGAATTATATTTTCATAGGGATTCCTTTTACTTTCAAGAGCCCTTTAGGGGAGCCCCTTAGATGTCGGATTTCATTATTTTTCGTATTATTTTCTTTCTAAAAAATCCCTAACTCCTTAAAATAATTATCTACAAATAATCAAAAAAATATTTTTTTACATTTTGGAGAATCATACAATTAATTTTTACAACGAAAAAATTTCAAAAAAGTTTTTCAAAAAAATCACAAAATTCTCATAAGTTTACCCAAACTTTTCACTTTACCAATCAAATTGGAAAAAAATCCGCTAGACTTCTTGGTAGCTTCAACGCCGTTCGTTTCAAGTTTCTCAACTTCCTCCAATGCCTTTTTAGCTGGATCACAACCCAATTTTCCAAATCTTGGGACCTTGAAAATTTTTTGAATTATCACAGGCAATATTTAATAAACCTTATGATCAAAATAATGCCTATGATCACTTATATAAGTCTTGTATTTTGACACTTCAAATGAAAGTGAATCACTGCAAGTAAAGTCTTCATTCTTTGGCTCACCCAAGCACTCATAGAAGGGATCGCCCGGCTTCATTCCATAAGGATACCTTTTTAAATGAAAAGTATTATGGGTCTCCCAAAAGAAGGGGGAAGAGGATTCCTTGAAGAAGGAACGGATGGAGAAGTGAGAAACTCTTAAGGGAAGAGGGAACAAGACGAGGACTCCTAAAATAAGAGGGAACGGGGAGAGTGAAGAGGACCCCTAAAAGCAAAAAGAACCCTTATAAAGATACAATTCGTTACCAAATTTCAGTTTTATGATGGTAAGCTTTCCCTTTTCCATGACGATCGCAGGGCTTGCTATCGTCATTGGGGCGTACACCAGGCCAATTGTCAGTTTTATCACAAGCTGGCATATGTGGCACAATATCCATTCGATGAACAACTCGAAAACTAGAAATGAGGCTTAAAATAAGCCCTATAAAGTAAAAACCTCGTTGGAACAAGTTCGTCATGTGCAAATGCAAAATCAGCATTACCCACACGTGGCTGACCAAATGTATAAAGTTGAACCTGATCACTCCTTTTAAGTTTAAAAATATGAAAATGATGGTGTTAGCTGAATCTCTAGATTTTGACTAGTAAACAGCCGCGATGTCACGGGTTACCCGATACCAAAAAAAATTAATACCTTCTAATTTCCGATTTAACTGTCCGTGCTGAAGCAAGTGATGCGAGCGCGCCCCCAAGTGAATGGCCAGTAAAGGTTACCTTGTAGCCCTTTAATTTAAAAATAATTGGAAAAAATATTTCTCAAAGCTCACTGCATGCCTCGGATCCTCCAAAGCTTCCTTTACACTCGGCCAAAGCGTATTAAATGCCCGGAGGAAATATTTATTGACCTTAAAATTTTTAAAAAGTTTAAGAAAGATTTTCGCCTTTTAACCATTCCAATTCCATCAAAATCAACGCCCGGTTGCAAGCTTTGCCATCCTTCCAAAAATAATTGTTCTTTAGTTTTTGTCCCTCGAAAAACGATAATTAATTCACAACGCTGGTCAGATACAACCTTTGAAATTAAAAAAAATAGAGGGGATACATAAGGATTTTTGTCTCCAAGTCTTTTTGGGAGCCCCTCAACTTCGGGCCCTCTATTTCAATCTCTACGCCTTTTTTCTGGAGCGACCTCACAACTTTGAAAGATTGAGAGGTACTCTAACCCAATCAGAATGAATTTTTTTGATCCAATAAATTTTATTAATACGGTGTAGGAGGAGCAGGTGCTTTCCAAAGCATCACATGTCTGATTAACAGAACTCCATAAACGCGTATCAGGCATCCATCTTTAATATTAAAAAAAGAAATTTTTTAATAGAGAAAATTGGTTTTGGATTAGACGAGGTTTTTGTCCCTCGAAAACGGGTCGTTCTAGTGGGTTTTTTAGTAAATCCAAAATGACAAACACAAATTCCCCCATTTTTTGGGTACAATTGATCTTCATATACATATATGGAACTAAATCGAAGCCAAGAAAATTCTTTTTTACCTCCTTTCACATCCATTTGGTGGTGTATATGAATAAGCGCCAGCGGCTAGAGCAAGCAGTCTTTTTGCATAGGTTTCATTATAAGCGGTAAATTGTGGTCTTTGTTGTGTTGTAGGTGAAGGGGGTTGTTGTGCATTTTGGTCAAAAGTAAAGGTTGAATAAACCTCGGGGTTTTGGATATTTTGAGGATATTGTCGCCTATATCTTGCCGCTGAAGTGTTTAAAGGGAAGGATATTAATTGTAGTAGAAGGTAAAAATAAGTGAGAATGTTGGGATTGTATAAGAGCAGTAATGCTTTAAATTCTGAAAGAACCATCTTTTAAGATAACTAAAAAACTAAAAAAAATTTTGAAAATTTTTACAAAAAGGGGAAAAATGGGTGGCCGTTCTCTTTACATGTTCCCAAAATAAAGGAAAGAACAGGAACGCTAACTAGCAGCTAAAATTTGCGGTAATTCTAGCCACAGGTCATCGTTGTTGTTTAGCAACAAAAGAAGGAAAAGAAGGGGTTAAAAAATAATAAATTTTTTGTTAAAACTAGAGATTGGCCGGAAGTTGGATTTTAAGGGATTAAGAGGACATTGGAGGATTAAGTTGTATATCGAGAGATTTAGAGTTAAAAAATTTAATTTTAACGAATAAAAAGAGTGTAAATTTTAAGAAAATTCTTTTTTCCCTAAGAAAAAAGAGGAAAAATTTAAGAAAGTCCTGAAATTAATTTTTTTAATTTTCCAAAAATCTGACCAGGAAAAATTTTATTTTTAGAAAAATATAGGTAGGTTAACCTGTTTTTCTATTTTTAAAAAATTTTTAAAAATAAAATAAACAAAAATTGGCTACATTTTTATTTTACTATTTAAATGTTTGATAATAAAAATGTAAAAATCACGGCGGGAAGTTTGGGAAGATTAGGCGAAGAAGGAACGAAAAAAGAATAATGAATCATACAAACAAACAACAACAAAACTTGTGAAAAATGAGGAAGAAAAAATTTAAAAGTTTACTAAGCAAAAATAAAATTTTCTGAGAAAAATTTACTGAGAGAAAAAATATCTGTCAGCAATGATTAATTGCAGAAATGGGAATATTTTACAAAAATAAATATTCAAAAAAATTTATATTCCCAAAAGGTTTCATTGAAATATAGTGAACTCATCACAGTAGAGGTACACACCCGACTTTGACATAGGTTCTAATAAAAGCTGTGGTGATTTACGGCATAGACGCACATTACCGGAACATAAATTCTAACTCGCACAAGCTGGGTATTTATCGGCATAGATTTGTGAAGAAAATAAAAAGGGGTGTATAGTCGGATTTTTGACCTCAAAAATAGGCTTTGCCGTTTCGGGGGCCTATATCTCGGTCCACAGGCATTTCTAATCATAGAGAGAGGTACCATTCGACTTGGACTGATAAGACGAACCGAAGGATATATAAATCGAACTACTTTGGAAACGTCCACTGGCTAAAGCACAGCCAAAAAATCTGTGGGCATATAACGGAAAAGTAAGCAAATATTCGAATTTAGGGGGAATTATGGGAATAAAATTTTTTAAAAATTTTTAAATAAAAAATAAAATCAATAGATTGAACATCCAAGCAATAAAAAAAATTAAAAAAGCACACAAAAAAATTTTTTTTCGATTATTTTTTGGATTAACCAACGTTTTTATAAAATAAAAGGAAAAAAAGATTTAATATTTTAAAGAGGATTGAATTTTTGGGTGACAGCGGGAGTAGAGTATATATTTTTTTAAAAATACAAACAAATTGCATTTTTGTTTTGTATTTGTGTTGGGCAGAGGTGAGAAAAACAAGTTTTTAAATGTTATCGCCAAAAATAGGGTAAGAAAATTTGGAAGAAATAAACAAAAGTTTTATTAGTAATTTTTTGAATATTTTCTGAATTAGTAAGGAGATTGTGGTGACGAAAATGACACTTCCGTGTATGATTCTAATTGTAAGACAAAATATTCCCTTTGAATTTGTCAGTTGAGCGAAGGCTTTAGAAAATCTATTCCAATAGAGCAATTTAAAATCCAAGGCCCGTTGGCCTGAAATTCATAGTCACGATATGTAAAGCATGTTTAGCATCTGTAAAGCATATTTAACTCCTAAGGCTGTGCAGTAGGCGGCGTGGTGTGTGACACATCAGTCCAGTCTATTGAAGATTCTGGTTCGCTCCCAGCCGCCGGATAACCTGCACTAGCTGAAGGCCTCTGCTTTGTGTGGGGGTAGTGTGGGCTCCGCTCTGTTCTACTCTCCTTTTGAATTTTTCTAGTTTATAAAAAATCAGAGAATTAATTTTTGTAACTGAACAGATTTGAACACTAATGTTAATGACCTTGAGAGAAGGAAAACCCCCAAACAGGTCAAACAGCAACAGAGAGCAAATACGCAATATTAATAAACGATTTAGGCAATTGCTAATCTTCCAGTTTTTCTCCCGTTTTGTCTTTTCTTTGCCTGTTCCCACATTTTCTTCAATTTTTTCTAGTTTAGTCTAAGGTGAACGAATAAATCCCCGCAAAAAACACCAGAAAATAGCTGGGTTATTTTACAAGCGCCTAAAATTAATAAAAATATTTTTATTCAAGTCAGAATAAAATTAAAATTTTTATGGAGAACTAAAATGAGATTTAAAATTTGCTGTGAAGGATTTCAAAATTTTGGGAAATAAAGACAAGAGACATTAAAAATTGTATATTCAGCCGTGCGATCTATTGCGAAATTATAAGCTAAAATAGAATTTAAATTTAAATTGGGAAAATTATAAAAAAAGTTATTTAAAAAATATTCTGCAAGAATTTAAATTCGGTTTGCTAACGATAGTCGCTGACTAATTGGTCAGCTGTCCAATTGTCTTCTATCCAAATGTCTGCTGTCCAATTAGCCTGCTGTCCAATTGTCTTCTGTCCAAATGTCGTATTGCCTTATTGTTGCCCAAATGTCGTGCAACGCCATAATGGCCGTGCGCCATAAAGGGCTTGCGATAGTTTCTGTCAATTTTCTTCCTTTTTTATGGGAAGAGAAGAAAAATTTAGTCGTGAATCATCGACATAAATGGCATTATTTTATTGATTTTTTCGTTGGTGATTTATTTTTAATTTTTTTTCAGAAAAATATTTTTATAAAAATGTATTTTCTTCCAACAGAAATTAAATTAGATATACTTAAACATCTTAATCCTGAGCAATTATTGAATGTCCAACAAACAAATTATTATTTGAAAAATTTTATTGAAGAATATAAAAAGGAATTGGCACGGAAGAAATTTTATTGGCTACATTTTGTATTTTTTTATAAATCTTTTTAATAATTTTGAGTTGGACTTGTGGGTTATCCCAAGCTGATTTTGCGGATATATTTATGCGGACACCTAATCATACTGGTCTCATAATGGTCAGAACATCCATACTTTTTCGTGTTCTCTATTCAATGTGCTAGAGGGTTTTATGCGGACACTTTTTTGCGGACACTTTTTTGCGGTCATTTTAAGACATCTTTTCCGCAAGAATATGTCTGCAAATCGGGTTTGGGATAACCCACGTTTACTTTTAAAATTTTCAGAGTGTTTTTTTTCGCCGCCACAGGACCGATTTTCTCACTTATAAATTATTTCAACCAGATCCCAAACTTTATGACTTTGAATTGAGTAGAGAACTTGAAGAAAAGGTTTAAAAATTGATATTTTCTATTTTTAAACAAATCAATTTTAGTGGAAATGTGCGATAAAAAGAAGAATTCCAGTGTTTTTTTATCCTGAACATGTACTAGAAATGGCTTATCTTGCAGTGTATAAAAGTAGCCATAAAATAAGCAAAGGTTTGTTAGCAGTAGTTTATTTCCCGACCCCATTTTCTCAGATTTGTTCCTCGATTCCGCTCAATTTTGAACAGCAGGATAAACAGTCAACTTCTCCAATTGTGACCCAAAATTTAGTTATTTTAAGCTACAATCATCTTTTTTGGGAAAATTCTTTTTAATACTATTTTTTGACCTCCAGGATCAGTTGACCGCTAGGTGTTACCTCTAAGAATTTGAGGGAAGGGCGCGCGGTCATAATACTTGCTTCAAAGATTTCTTAATCCTACCCGATTTAGTATCAAGCAATTCCACTCATCGAGCTACATTTTCCAGCAAGTTATGGCCGGCGCCGTTTTATGCTTACCCAGGATTTGATCACTTTTTTATTTAGATCCCCCTTTCAATTTCAAATTACCAAACGTTCCAAAAACTATTGAAGAAATGAAGATTTTTCGTTATTTATTTCAACAACTTTTTAACTCTGCCTTTGACAACGTCTGTTTTGGTTGCTATACAATCAACTCAGAAATGATGGAATTATTATTTTATGAAAATGAAACAAATATGCCTTTACAAATATATTCTAAAAAGGCTAGACTAGAGATTAAAGATGGAAATACTGAATCTTTTTTTCCATTTATTTGGAATTATTTGATCTCTAATGTATTTAAATTAGATATTTATATACAAAACAACACGGAAAAACATTTCAATGATTTATTTAAAATTTTGACGACTGGAAGAAATAAATTTTCTGCCGCTTATTTTTGTTGTCATAACCAAAAATATTACAATCTTATTATTCAGGTAATAGTCAAGGTGTTGACCTTCTGGGTTGATCCGGTTTTGCCACTCCAAATCTTTTGTGGATCTGGATTTATTGTTAGATAACCAGAATGTGGGATTTCTAGGTGATCTGATTATCTGGGATCAACAGTAAAATATAAAAGGTTTAAATAGGAAGAGAGGGCGGGATTGAAAAATCAATTTTTGAACCTAAATATAATCTAATTTCAGCATATAGAAACAGCAAGCGATTTTTATAAAATGGTAAAAATAATTAAATTTAAACGTGTTGAAGGGGATCTTGTGATAAGTGAAAGAGCTGAAAATATTGAAAAGAAAAACGACAAATTTGGTGAACTATACACCAGTTATCAGCTTTCAAATAAATATGATCCAAAAATGAAGTTTTCTGTTCATATTAAAGAACATAAAATGTTTGGACACAACGTTGAAATTGAACGAATTAATTGACAATTTTATTTGTGTACAACTAACGACGTATTCGAGCGCCGCCGACCTCATAACTTTGTTAAAAATTATCGAATCCGGGAAGACTTAGCATGATTCGATACGCCTTGACGAGCTGGATCGAACCTTACCAGGGCACCTGGATTCGATAATTTTGAACGGAGTTATAGCTAGGTGGTAACTGGTCTCGCTGTACGTTGGACTACTTTATTTATTTTTACACACATGATTATTTTTAAAAAATTTTTTTGAAATAAATTTTCACGAAATATTTTTCATTAAGCATATTCAAAAAGATAATATTTTTTAAAACTTAAGTTAATACTTTAAAGCCTTTAGTATTTGCTAGCCGATAAAGGTGGTTGTACTTGCGCCAAACAAACCGCGCCAAAATGACCTTCTCCAGTTCCCTTATAAAAGCAGTTTTTTGTTTACTCCTTTGCGTGAGAATATACAATGGAGGAGGAAGAGGAAATGTCAGCCGATCCTCTAGATACTTCAGAAACGTCCACAGATTCTTCCAAATCTTTAACAAGCTCTTCAAGACCATCAATGGACACAATAGAATCTTCAATAGAAATCGAGGCCTCTACAACTAAATCTGAGGAATGCGACAAGAAAATTGTTCAAATGAAAAATGGTGGCTTAATTGGCAATTACAAAGTGGTGAGACGACTTGGGGAAGGTTCAAGTCCTTTAAACTTGCCAAAATATTAATTTTAACTTTAAGGTGGTTGCGGGGTCGTCTATCAAGTAAAAGCAAATAATAAACACTACGCGATGAAAGTTGAACGCTTGGATATGGACAAAACTGATCAACTTCTGGGAATAGAAGCTCATGTTCTCAAGCGTCTGCAGTCCTCTCCTTACACTGTTCAGTTCATTCAATGTGGGACTTGTCAAAGTATGGTGTTTAGGTATCTGTGTAGTTTACGTCCCATAAGCCACGCCTCATTTATCTATCTTATAAGGAGAGGAAAAAGGCCTGAAATCAATAATGAAATCAGATCAAGTCACTTTGCAAGAATTGAAAAGAGAAGATAGAATGGGGGTAAATGGGGGGTAAACTGCACAAGTAACTGTTTATGGGGGGTAAACTGCACAAGTAACTGTTTCATTTTTCAGGCAAAGGTTTAGGCCTTCGTGTGCTCATTATGGGACTGCTGGGCCCTTCTATAGATGAATTACGGAAGCAAGAAATCAAAGAAAGATTCAATATGGGGACTGTGTTGAGGATTGGCTTTCATGCTTTGCAGGTTAACTTGCCTTTGAATTAATATTTTCCCCAATAAATTTTAAGGCAGTCGCATTTGTTCATTGTTCATATTTTGTCCATCGAGATATCAAGCCCAGCAATTTTGCTATTGGAATAGACAACTCCAGACGAATCTATCTATTCGATTTTGGACTTTCTAGAGCACTCAAAAAGCGTGGCGATATGGAATTGCGTACAATGAGGGAAGATGTTTCATTCCGAGGAACTTCAGGATATTGCAGCTTGAACGGTATTTTTTTAAATAAATTATTGTAGGGAGGAAGAGAAGGGGAAGGCAACGCCCCTTCAACTCTGATAATGCACTGGGTTCACCTTAGGGTTTAACACGGTCAACGACCTTGAGGTCAACTCGATGGTGGTGGATTGACTGGAGGTCGACTCCAAATATTAGACAGTTGCAAATATTAGACAGCACTTATTTGACAGTTGCACAGACCTCTAGGGTTTTGACTTCTTGGGTTGATCCCGAGGCACAATACGTGGTGAGCGAAAACCCCTAGGAATAACTGTCAGAAAGTCGCCGAACAGATACACCCTGGGACCTCTTACCTGCCCCTTTACCTTTTTTTTACTAATTCCAAGTTACTCAGCTTTTCTTATTTTTAGTACACAACAGAAAGGAACATGGAAGGCACGACGACCTATGGTTAGTTTTGGTATTTCAAAGCAGGCATGATTTATTTAAAATTTTCAGGTCAATCTTCTACATGCTTGCAGAATTGAAAACTGGCGATCTACCATGGATGGGAAGATCTCGAAACAAAACAAAAATTTTAAAGGCGAAATTAATGGATTTTGAGTATATGCATGTATTTTTTAAATTTTTTTAGAAAAATTTTCAAAAATTTTTAGGGATGTCCAGTTGCTTTCTCAACCATTTTGAATTATTTGCGAACTTTGGATTACCACAAAAGACCCGATTATATCGGTATTGAACAAGCATTTTTTGGAATGATGGCGGCAAGGGAAGTAAATTGGAATCAACCTTTGGATTGGGAAGTTGATTAGAATAGAGAGAGGTTTGAGGGGTTTTTTGTATATTTTTTTCTGTGAATATTTGAATAATTGCCTTAATGAATAAATGTTTAATATGCCTAATTTGTTCTTTTTTCAAATGCTGTACTTGTGCAGTTCTTATTTTTTCTTTAATTCTTTCTCTTCCCGCCCTTTTCCTCCTTCATTTTACCGCTAAATTGCTCACATGTCGGAGTGGGTAACTTTAAAAGGGGGAAGATTTAAGGTCATATTCAACTATTTTCGGTCATTTTCCTTTCCAAAAACGTTTGCATTTGTCTGGTATTGAGTAATTTAATTGATTTTCTGATTACTTTTTGAATCCTTTTTTAGTTACCCTTTGACTTCACGGGTTATCCCAACTTTTTTTCTTTTCTAAAAATCCTTTTTGGATTTGATAATTATTTTTAATTTGTTATGTATTCTTCTGCTGCAGAATTTATTACAAATCAAATTAATCCGAATTCTCTTTGGAATTTTGCTGGAACTAGTGTTCAATATACTCAACATTTATTTGGACAATATTTGTCACCAACTCCTGCAATTTTAGGTTTGCTTTTGGATTTTATAGATCTTCGGATCCTTATTAAGGATTAGGCTAGCATAAGTCAACCCTAACACCTCAAAAATTTTTTTGCGACTGTTCGGACATTAATGGGTGGTGATCTTAAGTTTTCGATCTTTTGGGTTAGCCTGAATGAGGATTTTATAAATTTTGGATAAATTAACGAAAATGAACACGGATTATACTTCGCACTAGTCATTCCTACCCCTTGCCTCTTGAAAAAAACTTTTTACTCTAATGTCGGTGATTTTAAAGTTTTCGATCTTATGGGTTAGCTTTTACAAATATAGCAAAGGGAGAACATGTGTTTTTCCTTTTTTCGTTCTCTGTCGTGTGGTTTTTGGGGCAGGGGTCTATGAATGTTTTTAGATATTACACCAAGTTTTCTAGGGAACTTAAGTGACCATCAATTTTTGTAAAAGTTTAATTTTTGGTTTAATTTAAGTAGACGAAATGGACATTGAACAGACGCCGGGAAAGAAAATTTATTCAATCTCATTCAATCAGGATTGCACTTCTTTGGCTGTGGGACATGAGGATGGCTATAGTTTCTACTCGCTCCGGTCGATTGATAAACTTGAGAAAATACAAGATGCTAAAGGTTTTGAGTTTTTGTTAAAGATTATTCTGCTTTTTAAGCTCCTGAACGTGCTTGTATTGTTGAGAAGCTGTTTAATAGTTCGTTGATAACTGTTGTGTCAATGAAGAGTACAAGAAAATTGCAGGTTGATTTTAATTTAATGACTAATGAAAGGCTCCGTTTGTTGGGTTTTTAGGGTTCTTGAGTACTTACAACTCGATAAATAGTCTTGTTCGTTTTAGTTAATCGATTTTTCAATTTCGTGTTTCCCACGTTTCTTTGTTCTCCAACTCTATCGACTAACAAATGCTCAGGGATCCTGAATAAACTTAATGAGTGGGGATCCGTTGGCAAGCAATGTAGAGAAGGAATTGGGAAGACAAAAATAATAAAATGCGAAGCAAATCCCAAATATCCTGGGATTTCTGTTAGCTTTAGGGTTATCGACTAGACTATAAATTAGTTTAACTCGAATTTTTTAACTCGAATTCATATTTCAGGTTTATCACTCATCTAAAGAAAATGAAATATGTTCTCATACTTATGCTAGTTCAATAATTGCTGTTCGGATGAATAGAAAGGTTTTCTTTTAGCCAATGGAAAACATTAAAAATTTAAATTTTAGAGGGTGGTAGTCTGCTTGGAGGATGCAATTCACATTCACAATGTTCGAGACATGCGGGTTTATTTTTCCTTTAACTTTTTGGAAGATTCCTTTAAATTTTAGATTTTGCATATGATCAAGGATACTCCCTCAAATCCTCAAGGAATTGTGGATCTTTCAATTGATGACAACAATTGCTTCCTTGCCTTTCCAGCTTCTTCTAGCACTGGACATGTGTAAGGATTTTTGAATTGGAGTGAATAATGGGCGTTTGGTAACCGGGCAGGGGACACCCCATTTTAGCCTCCCTGAAATCGTTCTCCTGGCTACGCCCTTGTAACTGATTTACGGGTTGAGAAAAAAAGTCGGGTCGGTTGCAGGTCGGGTCTTCAACATTTTCTTTGTGTTTCGGGTTAAAGAAGTTTGGGTATCGGGTCGAGGATAACCCTGACATCCCTTCTTGGGGACCTAAAATTTAAATTTCTCATTTTAAGACATATTTTTGATGCCGAGAATTTAATTACTGTTTGTCAAATTACTGCCCATGATAGTGTTTTGGCGGCTGTTAGATTCAACCCAGAGGGAAACAAACTTGCTACTGGATCAGAGAAGGTTTTGAAATTTTTATATTTTTTTGTAGAAAAATTTCTTTAATTCGACTTGGTATTCTAATTCCCCCTTTTTAATAAATGATTTAATTTCCCCTAAAAAATAAAATTCACGTCGATCGTTAAAGTAATAAGTTTGTCTTTTTGACGTGTTCATTTAGATTTTCTTTGGTTAAGTGGGATATTTGTGGGCCTACCGACCTTTGTTCTTTCCTCTCAAACTTGGACGATGATTAGATTGTATATAGCCGACGAGATTGAGCGTGGAATTAATTTCATGCTTTGATAGTAATTGCTACTATGAGTCCTGAATTTTTTGAAATAAAAAATTTTATTTAAAAATGTACCCAAAATCCCCTTTAATTCTAAAATAAAATCTTAAAAGTTTTGAAATTCTCAATTTTAAGGGAACTGTCATTCGCGTTTTTTCAATTACTGGTGGTGAACGTCTATTTGAATTCGTCAGAGGTGTCAGCCGTTGTGTTCAAATAAGCTCTCTTGCATTCTCCCAAGATTCTCGATTTTTGTGTCTTTCATCAAACACCGAAACTGTTCATGTGTTTTCCTTGGCTAAACGTGATCAACAATTGGATCATCATACAAAGTTTGAAATTAATTTTCTTTATTTTTTAAAATTTTTTATTCAGACCAGATGATTCTTCCCAAGAAAGTGTTAGTTGGATGAGCTATTTTTCACAACAAGCAAGTGCCTATTTACCCCAACAAGTTAATGATTTGATGTTGAGAGGCAAAAGTGTTGCGGTCGCTAAATTGCCTATACTTGGACATAAAACAGTTGTGGCTATGCCTAAAATTCAGGTTTTTTTAATTTTACAGAATTTTATCAAAAAATAAATTAGGGGATTGATTATTTAATTGTCGCGAGTATGGAAGGGTATCTTTTCTGGTACTCTTTGCCTACTTCTAGCGATGTCAGTGAATGCAAGCTTTTGCGTCAGTACAAAATTGGGCCTAAAAAGAGTTCTAAAAAGGATGGAGATGAAGGAGAAATTGGAGGAATTCAAATATCAACTCAGAAAAATTTGGTTTGCTTTAAAAATTTTTTTTTATTTTTCTATTGAAAATTGAGAAGAGAGTTTGTTAGTGAAGAATTAAAAAACGTGGGGTTTTTTTTGTCTAGTTTGCTAGCTTGTAATTGTAATTTAAGTTTTGTCTTCTGTAGAGCACCGTGGCGCAGTGGAAGCGTGCTGGGCCCATAACCCAGAGGTCGATGGATCGAAACCATCCGGTGCTATTTGTAATTTTTGTTTCTATTAATTATTTGTATAAAGCTTTTAAATAATTTAAAATAAATTTCTTTTATTTTTTATTTTTTTTAGGAACCAGAACTTCAAAATACCCCAGCAAGATTTTCACAAACTACTGGTTCGATTAAAACTTCAAGTGGATCCCCATCTTTATTTGGAACATCATCCACAAGTGTCAAACTTCAACAACAACTTCATTCTGCTTCGAATACACCAAAGGTTCTTTCGACACCTAAACCTTTATCAACAAAAGATTTAACTAAAGGTTTTTTTATAATTTTCAGAAATTTTTTTTAAAATTTATTTTTATTTTAGTAGTTGATGCGAATCCTTTTAATATGGAAGATTTGGTTACTCCTTTGGATGAAGATGAAATTGTTAATTTGGAACCGGTTAAAATTGGTTAGTTTTTTTGAGGGGATTTTTATTTTTTAAATTTTTTTTTGGTTCAGGGTCGACTGTTGCGGTTTCTAGTCCATTAAATTCTCCTCCTGCTGATTTGGATGATTTGGAAGAATTCCCGCCTTTGAAAAATTCTACGAGTTGAAAATATTTTGTGTTGGCAGCTATATTTTGTGTATAATTTTTTACTTAATCTTTTAATTTTATTATATTAATTTTGAAAATTTTGTCTTTAAAAATTAATTTTCGCCTGACAAAAAAAATTTTTTTTGAGAATGTGTGACGTTTCGTCCCACTAGACCGGGGGTGATATTTTAATAATTTTATAAGGGGAATTTAACCGTCACTTAGTGGAACGAAACGAAGGTTTATATAAGGAAATCATATTATTATTATTTTTTGCCTATAATCTATTTTTTAAAAAAATCAAAAAAGAAAATCTGCTTATTAAGAATTTTTAGTTTTGAATTTTCGAATTTAGTTTCACTTTTTTTTCTTTTTTTAAAAAAGTACCTTTTATTTCCCATTTTTATTTTTGAATAAACTTAAAAAAATTTTTTTCTTTTCATTTTTTTGATTTGTTTTTTTAAACAATTTTAATATTTTTCAAATTTTTTTTTCAATTTTTTAATTATTGTTTTTTTCTCACACGCGCGCGAAAAAAAGCTATACAGGAATTTCTCTTCAAATGCTTTTTCTATTTGATTCCAATCATATGAAAAAAATTCTCAATCGATTTTCCTCTCTCTAGACCCTTTGTTAACGTTGTTTAAAGCTTCTAACCCCTTCTTTTTAAAAGGGCATAGCCTTGAGATTTTTATAAGGAAAGGAAAAAAATTTTTTTAAGAGAGAGAAGAGGAAGGGAAATTAATTTTAATTAGTTTTTCGCGTGTGTGACAACCAATACCTGATGGAAATTTTTTAAGAAAAAATTTTTTCTGAAATTTAAAAAAAATTTTTTTTTGAAATTTTAGAGGCTTCAGAAAAAATTTCAAAAAAATTTTTTTGAAGATTTCAGAAAATTTCTTTAATTTAAAATTTTTCTTACTTTAAAATTTTTTAAAGGTTTATTTATATTTTATCAATTTTATATTCAAAAAAGACTAATTATGAATAAACAACAATCAAAATTTAATTTTCCACAGTCTGATCATCATATAAATCGACTCTTCAGCAATCTTAATCTTCGTCATCAAGGACCTCAAAGATTGGACAAAGAAGTACAATTTATACCTCCATGGGAGACTAAAATTGGACAGCTTCAACAAGTTGTACGCTCCCTTCGTCAAAATGCGGATACTTATCTTCAGAATCGGTTTGCAAAATTTTTTTAGAAATTTTGGGGGAGGGAGTAGGTAAAGGGCTTAAGGCGTGTTTTGATTAGAAACCGGTTTAAGACGAACTCGAACAAAATCCCGGTTAAAGAGCTTTAAGTTTTTTCGAGATTTTTTTCTTCTATCCCAAATTTTCCTTCCATCCAAGTGGGAATAAAAATAGGTAAATTCCTTTTGTTGTTGTAGGCCATGTGTTTGGCCATGTTTGTAGGCCATCCAATTGCTATAAAAAAGCAATTGGAATGAAAGGAAGAAGTCTGACCATTTTGTAGATAAATAGGAAAGAACTTGGTGAAGAGGGGTTGGGGAATGGGGTTTGTCAGGTGAAATATCACCGAGAAATTCTACGACTTTTTCTTCTACGACCCTTCCAATCCAATCCTGAAACTCTTCTACGACCTTCTACAACCCTCTAATTTTAATTTTGTTCTTTTGCATTTTGGCAATGTCAAGTAAAGTTTTTAATTTTTCTATTCCGTTCTTTACGGGCTTGAGAGGATTCTAGTTCCCCTCTAAACGTTCTTGTCTCCTTTGGTTTGTAAAAATTTTTTTTAGAAATTCTGGAGAGGAAATGGGAACTCGAACAAAATCCCTGTTACCGAACTATAATTTTTTATTTTTCAGTGGCTCAGTAATTGTTCGCTGTTATCCATTCAAGAGTCAATATTATATGAATATTGTTTATGATCTTATACGAAATTCAATTGCTGCTGTCAACCACTATGGACGCACTCGTTTTGATGGAGAAATAACGCCTATACTCATTCAATCATATAATGTATTTTTTAAAAATTTTCTAAAATTTTCTAAAAATTTCTATGATTATTAAGGGAAATGTCAATCCAATCGTTTGTACTCCTATGCCATTTGGCGCGCCAATTTATATACCGCCCGAACGTTTGACGGATGTTGTACTTTTGCGTGTTCATTTTAATTTTCCTGAGGCGGCTCTATATTTTTTACAAACGTTTAATCGGTTTGTTTACTTTTTTAATTTTTTGGTGTAAATGAGTAAAAGGGATCCTATCGGGCACCAATTTGTTCTTTTGGATTGTGGTAAGGTTCTAACTAAAGGTCCTCAAGTAGGTGAATGACTTGACTTTTCCTTTCAAAAGGAAACCTTTTGAATGTTAAACGAGGTGTGTGAGGTTTTACTTCACCTTCTTCTTCGCTTGAAGAAGTTCACCTTCTTCACTTGAACAAATGACCTTTTCTTTTCGAAAGTGAAGATCTTCTATACGGGTTTCAATTTCGTTTTTTTAATTTTGTTAAAGTTCTAGTTCCTTTCGACATTTCTTTTCGATTATCTGGGGAATTAGCCGTTAATGATTTACCGGTCTACCGACTTCCAACATTTTCACCATCCCGAGTGCCCTTTAAAAATTCTTTTAAAAATTTTCTCTATTTCTAGCACTGTTTTTAATGTATTTGATCGCCATGCTGTAAAAGTTCCTTTTGTTCACGCTGATTTGACTCGTCCTGAACGTTTACTTCGCAATCGTTTGCAACAAATTTGTCAACAAAAGAATGCTGGACGTTTTAGCTCTGCGGTTTTTTTTCAAAATTTTGTCAAATTTTATAAAATATTTTTTAGCCTCCTATGCCAGGACAAAATGATAATTATAGCTATGGATATTATCGCAATTTGTGTCAAAGCGGAGAACGTTATTTCCACAATGGAATACAACTTTATAAGGTTTCTTTTTAATTTTGGGAAATTTTGAAATTTTTTTTAATTTAAGGAATATCCAGGTAGACAAACTGAATCTGTACCTTTTCAACCATTTTCTGAATTGCAGTATTTACATGTTATAGTTGCTTCGCTTCGTAAATTTGCGGTGATATACAACCAAAAGGAGTAAGGAATTTTTTGTTTTAGTTAACATTTTAAGATTATAGATAATAGGGTTTTCCCCGACGGGGGGGGGGGGGATTCCCCGACTCTCGTGGCCGGGGACGGGGAACACTTAATAAATGAGTTAAATTGTTTCGAGTCTATCTCCTCCCCAAAAAAACATTACATATAACAATGAGTTGTTTGGTTCTTTTGAACCTCCCTCTTTTCTTAGGTTCTTTCCTATACTTTTTCTGCTTCATCTTCCTTGGATCTTGTTTTACCTTTCTCAATTTGTTTCCTATTTCTCTTTTTGCTTCACCTTTCCTGTGTCATTTTCTATTTACTTCTTTGACTTTCTTACATAGGTCGTTTCCTATGCTTTCTTTCGTTACCTTTTTTCTGCTTTACCTTTCTTGCTTTGCCTTTCTCTCATCCTATCTCTTTTTGCTTCATCTTTACTTGTAATTTTCTAATTACTTCCTCACCTTTTTTAGGTTGTTTTCTATCCCTTTTTTGTTTCACTTTTTTTTGAATAGTTTTCTATTTGCTTAACCTTTCCTAAGTCCAATTTTTCTAAATTAATTTATGCTTCACCTTCTTAAAGTCGTTAAATTTTCTTCATCTTTTACTAGTTGGTTGTTTCCAATCCTTCTTTGCTTCTATTTTCAGAAGCTCTCTTTTCTGAACCTTTAATGCGTTTTACCCTTAAGCTTTGAATTTTTTAAAATTCATATTCTTAATCAAAACCTCATAACCCGACTTGGTAATGGACATGGATTTCGGTATCCATGTCCGGATGTTTATGGGTATACAAGCGGATTTCCGCAGGCATTTTTAAATTTTCTGTATTTGTATTGAATTCTGCTTTTAACTATAAAAAAGTTTTCTTTCTAGATGTTCAGTAATTATCCAAAATGTTGATCTCGATAATGGAAGTGATAACGATGTTGAACGAATTACTACATTGGTTTATAATGTAGTCAATACACAATTGTTTAAAGAGCGTTTTCGTGATCTTCAGGTTTTTTTTTTGATAAATTTTGGGGGTTTTTACGAATTTTTTTAATTTTTAGAAGCTTCATAAAGGAATATGTTCACCCCAAACAAATTCCAATTCTTATTTGCCTATTAAAATTGAACGTGTTGAACGTCTTCCACAACCAAATTTGAATAATAAAAATGGAGGAAAAGAAGGAGGAACGGCAACAAATGTGGATAATTCAACAATTAAGAAAAAAGGACGTCCACCACTTATTCGTACATCTTTTCGAAATAAAGAAGCGGCACAAGCATTTTGTCAACTTTTTAAGGTTGTTGAATTTTTTTTGATTTTTTTTTTTGAATTTTGGGGAAAGAGTGGGTGGAGAATTATTCCTTTTTTTAAATGTTTCCCACTAATGTGATTCGAACCTTCAACCCTTTAGTTTAAAAATTTTTCCCACTACACCATGAATTAGTTTTCACTACACAAAGTGTAGGGTAGTTTTGTTGACCGTTGGTGGTGTTTTGTAGGGTTGTTGGCGACAGGTTAATTTCTGATCTTTTTGGCTCAAATGGGGGGAATTTAAGGTTTTTTCGATTTATGCCTCCGACTTTTTGGTTTCTTCACTTGAGGAGGTGAAAAAGGTGACCTTTTTCCTTTCTCAAAGGTGAAGGAAGCTGAAGGAGGACACTTATCACATTTTTCTATTTTTAAATTTTTTAACCGCTCGTCAACAACCCAACAATTTATTAATTTTTTCACAGTCATCATTCTAAAATATTCTCTTTTAAATTATTAATCCCTCAAATTATTTTTTATTTTTAAAGGAGTGTCAAAAATTAGCAGAACAAAAAGAATATGATGATACTCATGATGATGGCGAAAATTCTTCTGATTTTAATTCATATTCTGATTTATCTGAATCTGAAATATTTATTGGAAAAGGAGGAGAAGGAGAACAAAACAAGGACAAAACTTTATCATCAAAGAAAGGACATAAACACAGCAAAAATAGTCGCAAAAATTCAAAAATTTGTTTGTTTCCAAATGCTTTTGCCCATAGAGATTTGACACCTCCAGAACTTGCTTTGGGTTATTCACTTCGAATTTTTTGTCGAGTAAGAAATTTTTTTTTTTGAATTTTTAAGGAGTTTATTGAGGAGGGGAAGGGTAAGGTGACAGAGCTGAAGGAGGTCCTCACCCTTTTAAATGGTTATTCACTTTTAAAGGTGGAGCGTATTGAAGGACGTTTCACCTTGCCTCCTTCACGTTAGGAGGTGATATTTCCTTTCGGAAACTAAGGGATGCGAGGAGGTCACATAATCTGATAATGTTTAGGAGACCTCACCTCGACTTTTTATTTCAAAGATGAAGGGAAAAACAATTTTTCAACCTCACCTCCTTCACTTATGGATGTGTATGCGAACTTTTCTTTAAAAGATGAGGGAGGTGAAGGAGACTTCATCTAATGATGAGTTGAAGGAAGTCACCTCACTTTCTTTTCGTTAGGAGGTGAAAGCTGTGAAATTTCTTTTCAAAGTTGAAGTGAGGTGAAGGAAGTACCCCCTTCTCCCTTTCAATTCTATTTAAAAAAAGGAGCTGATTAAGTGAATTTTTAAGGAACCACTCGTAGGCCTCACAATCAGATCCAAATGTTTTTTTTTCAATTAAAATTTTTTGTTTTTTAAGGAAAAGAATGGACCTTTTTCTTCTTATGAATATAATAAAGGAATTTCTATTATTACTGATGAAGGTGAACTTGTTGAACAACAGCAAAGGAAGCAACATATTCGTTATTATGTTCGTGGTGGTCGTATATTTGAACGTTCAAATAATAATAATACTCCTTCTGTTCATCAAACAAAGACTTAAAAATAATGAAGAGGAGTGTTTATAATTGGAAGAAGTGAGTGGTTATTATCAAATTTGTGTGTAGATGACTTTTTGAAATTTTGACAAGGATGGATTTTTAATGGTAAATATTTAAAATATTAAAAAAAATTTTTTTAGACCCCCAAAAAATTTATAAAAAAATTGACTTTCTCTTGAAAATTTAAATTAAAAAAATAAATAAATATGTAATTTAAAAAATTGCCGTAAATGTTCTAATAGAAGAGCCCATATCCAATAGAAACCCAAGCCCTTATTCAAGCTGCTTCACTGATACCCTTTGAAGAATAAACGCACAGGGCTTCTATTAGAACATTTAGGGTATATTGGTAAAATTCCGTCGTATGTTCCGGAAAAACCGATTCGTGCAAAAACAACAATACATGGTCATTCGAAAGATACCAACGAGCTCTCTGAGACATACAAATTGTGTAATATTGTTTGCCCCGAATCGGTTTCCGGGACATTTGACAGAATTTTTCCATTACTATATTAAATACATATATACTCCCTCCCTATTTATTCCCAATTTTCCAATATTTTTTTTCATTATTATTTTATTCTATTTTTATAATCGAGTCTCTTTTCTATCTGTTTAAAATTTTTATTTTCATTCCTGAATTAATTAATGAGCCAATTAAATTTAAAAAAACAAAAAAAATTTATGTAAAAATTCGAGAAAATTTCCAAAAAAACCTCATAATATGTAATATTATCTACCTATTTATATAATTTTGATATTTTATTATATTGGACACGATCAGATCATTATTATTTTACTCCTCATTATTTTAAGGATGCTTATTTTTCTAAATTAAAAATTTAAAGTGAGAGGAGAGAGTGAATGACAAGGTCTAAAATAATTAAAATGAAGCTCTGAGCTTCTATTTTGTAATAAGTCAGTTTGAAATGGGGATTTCCATTAGAAACTGGACCTGTGTATTTTTTGATTGGTCTCCTCGGGTAGAGATTAAAAAAATTGGTACTTTATGGATATATCACCCCCCTCCTATTTTGAGTCTCAGAATTTTCCTTATACATAGAAAATGGTCAGAGATTATTTTCTTCTCCCTGTCAATCATTTTTTTACTCCAAGCAAAATAAGTGAAATATAAGTTTAGTCATAAAAATTAAAAAGGAGTACTTCAACGGTTAAGTTAATACCCCCGATAACAGATCGTCTTCTAAAATTTATGATGTTTGAACAAACCTCACGCATATAACTACAAAAATGGACAGTGGTATCACTGGCCATTTTTAATTCCCGATGACAAAATTTAATAGAATGTGACTCTATACTCCACCAATAAATAAATTTAAATATAGTTAAAAAAGGTAATTTGCTTCCCTGATTTCCATTGTTAAACCATGTATTTGTACGAAGTCCCTTTGTTGCTTTGCATCTTTTAAACTTACACCGCCATACGTAGTTGCCGCGAGCTGTAGAAATCCTCATTTCGTTTCCACATTTACAACAGATTCTTTCTTGATGGAGAATTCCACGTTGCTGGAAATAACGGATACAACCTAGGTCTCTATCTCCTTCTCCAAGATCGTTAATTTGTGAAATTAACTGATCGTAGTTCATTTTTTTATAAATATTTGGAAAAAAGGAAAGACTAAATATCTGATATAAAACTGATTTTAATTCAGATGTACTTGCGGATTAAATACCACCTTTTTTCACACATTTTGCTTTTTTTATTGCTTTTTCACATATTTTTGAATTTTGTACTAACATTCCAATTAATTTTGTTTTTTTATTTTGCTTTTTTCACATATTTTTGAATTTTGTACTTACATTTCACTCATTTAGTTTATACATTTACCACATTTCATTTGTTTTGCTTGAAGAAAGAAAAATGATTGACAGGGAGAAGAAAATAATCTCTGACCATTTTCTATGTATAAGGAAAATTCTGAGACTCAAAATAGGAGGGGGGGTGATATATCCATAAAGTACCAAAAAATTTTTGAAGGTTAAAATTTTTCTAAGAGTTTATTAAGCTCCTTTACCATTCTCTCTCCCTCTTACCTTCATCCTCTTCCAATTTTCATAAAAAAATTTTTTTTCGATTGTATTCAAAATTTTGTTTTTTATTTGTGCATTGCTTTAAATAAAGTCCCAAAGAAATTATTATACACAATTTCATGCATGAGACTCTCAAAAAAATTTTTTCTATTTGTCGTTTTTTTAAATGCTTGAAAAATTTATCTCAATTATATAAATTTTCAAATACAAAACTCGTTTTTATACTCTCGATTCTTCAATTTAAATTTTCTTTCAATTTAAAAATGAAATGTTTAAAATTTTAAATAAAAAGTGTTGTTTTTTAGGAATTAAAATAAGTTAAAGATCGGACAATCTTTGAATTTTTTTTAAGAAACAACACTTGTTATAAAGTCGAACCTCATCTCACTCCTTATCCTTTTACACTCTTGATGATGGAAAAATTTAAAAAATTATTCTAATCGAGTGTATCCATTACGGGAATTAGTAGAGCCCTCGGATACCGATACTCGACTCGACTCGATATCTACCAATATTTTATTATTGGATACAGTATGTTGGATACACACTGATACAGTGGGCCAACCAAATTTTTTAAAAATTATTTTAAATTTTGAGTTGAGCTTCGACTATATAAAATTTGACTTTTAATGAAACATTTTTAATGATTATATTTTTGCATTGCCCGTATATAAAAATTTTTATCTTTTGTGTGGTGTAAGGCTTTGAAAAATTTTTTTAAATTTTTCTAAATAGTATCCTCATCAAAGTCTTTGTATTCTGAAAAATATAAAAATCAAAATTAGCAAAATCATTTAATCAGTACCGATAACTCCAGCATCGGCTTCGGCAACAGCTTTACAAATATACCCTTTTAATGTTGACGGGTGTGCCCATGGAACTCTGTCTGCGATTTGCCAAAAAACTTCTTGGTCTACCTGTGGAAAATTTTTATAACGACGAACTTCTATTTAATGGACTTTATGAGAAAACTTCCCATATAGTGAACTCTTTCGAGAGTGAACTTCTCTATATAAGGAACCCTTCCCCAGTCTCTTCATTCTTTTCGGTGGGAGGAACTCTTCCCAAGTCTCTTCGTTTGGATAAAGCTTCCCCTGTTTTCTTGTATCTGGACTTCCCTAAATATTTTTTTTATTCCTATGGGATACTCGGGGATATGTGATATTTTTAAATCCATTCCCCATCAAGGGCTGTCCACGAGAAAAATCTTTTAAGCTGTAGATATCCACAATTACATTTTCCTCAGCTTGTTGACAGCCCTGTCCTCATGTCTATCTCATAAACATAAAATAGTTACTTCAGTTCCATCTTCAAAATTTGGCGATCCATAAACTAGACCAATCCAATATTCTTTCAGATCAAAATTGTCAGTAATAAATTTAAATTCACGTAAACTATGGACAGAAGTAAAATTTGCATTTAAAAGTCCACATTGTTCTCTCCCTTCGAAAAAACTTCCTGCTATCTGAGAACCGTAAAAACAAAGCTCATTTCTATAGTTTAGCCATCCCTCAAAGCAGCCATGATCAGAGCCTTGATTTTCATTGCTTCCATCGACTAGCGGTTTTCGCTCATCGTCGTTGGGTACCAATTCATTGATAGAATTCTCGAGTTTTTCTAGTCCTGTTTGAAAAATTTTTAAAAGGGGATGTAAGGGAGGGAGAAGGAGGGATTGAAAATTAGGGGGTTTCTGTGCCATTAGGAGGTGAATTGTACTTTCCGATGAATTGTCCTTTTCGGTGAATTGTCCTTTTCGGTGAATAGTCTTTTTCGGTGAATTGTCCCTTTCGGTGAATTGTCCTTTTCGGTGAATTGTCCTTTTCGGTGAATTGTCCTTTCCGATGAATTGTCCTTTTCGGTGAATTGTCCCTTTTCGGTGAAGTGTCCTTTTCGGTGAATTGTCCTTTTCGGTGAATTGTCCCTTTCGGTGAAATGTCCGCTTAAATTTTTGATAGAAATTTTTGAGGGTTTCTTGACTCTGAGATTTTTGGCGAATTGTCCCTTTTCGGTGAAATGTCCGCTTAAATTTTTGATAGAAATTTTTGAGGGTTTCTTGACTCTGAGATTTTTGGCGAATTGTCCTTTTCGGTGAATTGTCCTTTTCGGTGAATTGTACTTTCCGGTGAATTGTCCTTTTCGGCGAATTGTCCCTTTTCGGTGAATTGTCCTTTCCGATGAATTGTCCTTTTCGGTGAATTGTCCCTTTCGGTGAAATGTCCGCTTAAATTTTTGATAGAAATTTTTGAGGGTTTCTTGACTCTGAGATTTTTGGCGAATTGTCCTTTTCGGTGAATAGTCCTTTTCGGTGAATTGTACTTTCCGGTGAATTGTCCCTTTCGGTGAAATGTCCGCTTAAATTTTTAATAGAAATTTTTGAGGGTTTCTTGACTCTGAGATTTTTGGTGAATTGTTCTTGTTGTGAAACATCCTCCAAAATTTTTTAGTATTACCCAGTTGACTCTATAAAAAATACATAAATACCTTCTTTTAGCGGCTCTGCCGACTCCCCCAGAACAACAAAAAAAGTAAATAAAAGAAATAAAACAAAGGGATCTTTGGCACTATTGGAAAACATTTTTTGTGAAGAGATTTTTGATACTTTTTGCTTAATGAATTCAGCAAAATATAAAAAAACTTTTTTTAGTTGTTTAAACAAATAATAATTTTTGGGGGGAATAAAAACTTATTAAATGCCGGGCCTTGATAGAGAGGGAAGGTGAGAAGGCAAAGAATCCACCGTTAAATCCATTTAAGCTGACGTGGATTAGAGAGTTTCTCAATTTTTTAATTGATTTTCTCTCCCCTCTAAAGAGAATCCTCTTTAATGTTTGTTTAAGTTGGGTGTGTTTTGGCCTTATATGTAATAGCAACAAACTTTCTCATGAGAGAATTTAAATTCTATTTTTGTATGGATATTTTTGGAAAGAAACTTTTTTCAATTTCTATGGAAGCAAATAATACATAGTACAATTACATATAATTTTCCTTTACTTTTTTGCCATAAAGGAATTTTGAAAAATCTTAATTCAAATGTCGAGTTCAATTTCCAAACTCTCAATTGTCTTCAAATTCTCAAGTATCGGTTTCTCAAATAGCAAGTCCTCAATTGTCGGGTTCTCAATTGTCTTCTTCGCAAATGTCTTGTACTCAAATGTCGTGTCCTCAAGTGTCGTGTCCTCAAATGTCTTGGTCTCAATTGTCGGGTGCTCAATTGTCGAATCCTCAAAGGTCGTGTCCAAAAATGTCGTGTCCTCAATTGTTGTGTACTCAAATGTCGTGCCCTCAAACATTGTCCTAACCCAGAAGATCACCCACCGTTTGAAAAAACTTGCAAAACAAATGCTTAAGATAACTCGTTACCTAGGAAACCATACTATTCCTTTTTAAAAGTCTACAAGCTTAAACTTTAATAAAAATCAAAAATGGACCAATTAGACCCCCTATGTTTAGCACTTTTTTATTTCCGAATTAATCGTATTGAGGATGCACACAAAGAATGTACTCGACTTTTGGAAAAGAATTCTCTAGATCAAGCAGCTTGGAGTTTAAAATTGAGCTGTTTTGCTGAAGAAGTTTATGTGGATGAATTAGAAAATGAAGAGGCTGGATTGGCTGATACTTTTATGGATTTGGGGACGGCAGTAGCTACAGCTGCACGTCCAGGAACTTCTTTGTATAGACCACTTACTGGAACTGCTGGAGGGCCTAGTCCGGCTGTTCGGTTGGATTTTTATATTGTTGCTTATCAGGGGGTATCCTCAAATATCGGGTTTTCAAGTGTCGGATCCGCAAATGTCGTAACCTCATTTGTCGGATCCGCAAATGTCGTATCCTCAATTGTCGGTTCCATAAAGGTCGTGTACCCAATTCACGGGTTCGCAAAGGTCGTATTCTCAAATGATGGTTCCTCAAGATTTGGGGAAATCCGTATTATGAAACTAAGGCCCTATTAAGAAGACAAATAATTCTCACAATTCCTCTTTATAGTCCACGTACAGCAAGCGGACGTCCTCTAAGTGGAATGCAACGGCCCGAAAGTCGTTTAAAAACAGGCAGTATGGAACAAATGCTTCGAACCTCCCGTACTTCAAAAACAGCCAGGCCCGTTTCTGCCAGTACAGCTAGACAAGCACGTCTTGGAACGGCTTCAATGCTTTCAAAGTCAGAAAATGCTTTCATAAACTTGGCCCGTTTAAATGTGGCCAAATACGCACGTGACAAAACAGTAAATCGTTCACTCTTTGATTATGTGTTTTTACATGAGGCTGATATGCGGACTTCACAACAAGTAAGGAGGAGCCCACTCTTGAAGACCTTTCCCCGGAGATCTACTCCCTAAAGACGTTCACAACACCGTACCAAAGGTTCTAAAAGACAGAACTGGGTAGACCTGCATAGAATTGGGTACTTAACCCCTTGATCCTTCGATATTCCCTTTCTAAAGATGGTGGTCTTCAGGGTCAATCGGTATTGAGGGTGTAGGTCTTCAGGATTAACCCCAAGAGGACTACTTTCCTCTTAACTAAAAATTTTCTCTAAAGATAGCAACAATAGCACAGAGGAACAGTAATGATGAAGAACAAGATTGGTTTTGGCCTAATCAGCTTGGAAAGTGCTATTATCGGTTAAAAATTAATAAAATTTCTCTCATATGAAGAAAGCAATATAAATAGAAAATTTGATATTTTAAGGATGGGAATGATAAGAGACGCGGAGAATCAATTTCTGTTATCTTTACAACGTTGTCCTATGGTGGAAACGGTGAATTTTATTCCAGCTATTTAGAATATCCTCAATTGTTGTGTTCTCAAATACTCATTAAAAATATCAATTAATTATAGTTTGTTTTATTGGGAAAATGTTATCGAAGACTGGATCAGCCTCTTTCATGTGTGGAACGTCTCAGGAATGGCTTGGAACAATTCCCAAATGAACCAACATTAATGACTAATTTAGCCAGAATATATGAGGCATAATTAAGAGATGATAGGGGAAAAATTTTTAAAATTAATTAAAGGACATTGGAGATACAGAAAGAAGTTTACTGTACTATAAGCTCTTGCTCAGACAAGATGCCTCAAATGTAGAGGGGATTGCATGCCTTGGAGCTCATATTTTTTATGAGGGGCGTCCAGAGATTGCTCTCAAGTTTTATCGGTAATTTTAAATAATTGGTCAACTACAACGAGATTTTTTTAAATTAAAGCCGTATTCTGCAGATGGGTGTTAATAGTGCAGAATTATATGCAAACTTGGCACTTTGTTGTTTCTATTGCCAACAATTTGATTTGGCATGTGGATGTCTAGAAAGGGCACATTCTGTTGCTGATCAATCTGTTCAGGCTGACCTCTGGTTGGTCCTTTTATTGAGTCTATATTGTTAGCGTCCGCTAAAATAGACCGAAAAAATATTCTGAGTCCGCAACTATTTTGCGGACAAAATTGTCGCCAATTTTGGCGACTTTTCATTGAATTGTCTCTTTTTTAAATTGTCCCCCGTTCACTCCTCGTTAATTTTTTAGCCGTTCACCCTTTATTTTTTTCATTGTCCACTCAATCTTTTTAAACCTTTTTCCCGCCAAAATTTTTTCTCTCTATTTTTTAGTGACAGTTTGCGCCTGTCACAACTTAAATTTTTCCTATTGTTTTTTCCGATTGTCTTCTCTGCCCCGTTCTCTCTACACATTTGGTTTTCTATAATCTATTAAGCATTATTTTTCAAGTTCGCATTTTTTGAGTTTTTTGCCAAGACCCGCCCTCTTTTAATCTCTATTTAAGCCGAGGATCAGCCCCCCCAAAAATTACCATTCACCTCCAGTTTTTACTTTCAACCGCTTCCAGTTTTCAATTTCAACTCTCATCTTTTGGTTGGCTGATCCGCGGCTTCTACCTTTGTTTAATTAGTGCTCGATTTATTTTACTGCTCTGTTTTTTTGGCTATTATTTTTTGTGGAAGAAGTAAATTTATTGTTGACTTGTCGTTGTATTTTGTTTGAGTGGAAAAGTGAACCGCCTCGAGGTTCACTTACTGTTCTCCTTCTGTTATTTGACTGTGTTGGCACAACCAACACAGTCTGGTGCCACGATCCTAAAAATCCAATTTGTCGGGAAGCCCGTCTCCCGACAAACTGGTGCCACGACCCGGGACGCCGTCGTGGTCAACTACAACACCAACTACCACAACAACAGTAAAGCAACTGGGTTATAGCTATTTCTCTCCTTCAGCTAGTGCGATAGGCTTTAACAATCAACTACCCGTTCCCCTTTTGTTAAGTCGGACAACTACGACTACAATTACCTGTTTTGAGTGAGCTACACCAATTAACCATGTCAGCGGTGATTCGTCTCCAGTTAGCAACCGTCTTATCAACACTCAAAGTAAAAGGGCGTGCCGTGTTAACCGCGTTGAATGCCACTGACACCACTGTGGATGAAGATGACCGTTTGGAGGCAGATGCTGTTCAACTTAGAGAAGCTGCTGGTCGTGCACAGGCACTGGTGGACAAATGGTCAGACTTCATTGCGCGACTCATGCCAACGGAACAACAGGACGAGATGGACATCCTTCAAGCCTTTCCGCCGCCTAGAGGCGAAGTCAGGGAGGATGATGAACCTACTGCGTTGGCGCAGATTGAGCGTTCCTATGAATTAGTGGACTTGGTTAATGTTTGCCTCCAGCAACGCAGAGTCGGCAATCGTGGTTCAGTCTCCTCACGAAGAACTGAGAAGTCCGTCACCGTTGGTAAAGAGCAAAATGATAACGCACGTCGCCAGGCTCATCACACACAAGATAATGGTCAACAAAACTACTCGCCTGAACACCCTGATGGATTTTTACGACGCCAAACTCAAGCACGGATTAACGAACAGCAAGCAACTGGTAATGGAACGAGTGCCCATCACACCAACTCCGCAAGTCAAGCCGGATTTTCACCGTACCAACAGCAGGGAACGTACAACGGTGCACCGATTTACTCAACCTTTAGGCCTTTTCGTCTTGAACCGATGAAGTTTGCTGGCGATCCCAAGGAATGGACTGCATTTTGGCTGGCATTCGACCGTGCTGTCAACAGTCAACCTCTTCCACCTTTTGAGAAGCACCTATGTTTATTGCAAAGTCTGGTACCTGGTTCTGCTGCGCGACGTGCAATTGATGGTTATCCGCCGTCGGATGAGAACTACCCGATGGTGGTCAGCATACTTCGGCGTCAATTTGGCGATGGAAAAGCCTTGCGAGAAGGACTGATTGCCGAGCTTTTACAACTCCAAGTGGCTAACAACTCACTTTTTTCAATGCGTAACCTCCGGGAACATGTGGAAAGAATTTGTCTCCAGCTGGAATCACCAGAGGGATCTAATGCAACCCAGGACGAAATCGTGTGTGGAATAATCAGATCTAAGCTGCCACGCGAAGCCTTGGAGATTTTGATTGGTTGGGAGCAGGACGATGAGGAATGGACTTTGGCTCACCTTCGCGCCGGACTGGGACGCATTGTTCAACGAAAAGAGCGTTTGGAGAGAACCATCACGACCTTGCGACCGGCTGTGCCTGAACGAAGGCCTCGGGAAGACGACCAACGCCAACGAAGTCAACCTCAAGACAGACAACCTCAACACCGTCCAGCACAAGTTTCACGTTCTTTTATCGCGGTCCAACCAGCTAGCAACCGTTATGAACGACTTCCACGACCACCATCCATGGCTATTGATAAAGGATGTTCTCTATGCAGTACAGGGTCCGAACACTTACCAAGTCAATGTACAACATGGAATACACCGCAGAAACGTCAATCGCGTTTACTGGAACAACATAGATGTCTCAATTGCCTCAGGAACGACCATACTCTCAATCAATGCCAAAGCATGAAGAGGTGCCGTATATGCAAAAACCGCCATCATTTTATCGTGTGTATGAAACAAGGACATATGGGACTTGAGGCACCACAAAATGGGAGTCAGCCTACCACTACCTCGAACGCAGGACGACCAACAGGAGCTAACTCACAACCGCTTGGCCAATCAACACGCGAAGTATCAACACTCAAACAAGCACCGACTACTCACACTGGAATGGCCACAGACCCACCTGCTATTGCTAAAGCAACTGAACTCAAGGCACAACCGACAAGCAGACCAAGAGCGCTACTCATGGTTACTGAAGTGGTTGTCCGGCCTATGGGAGCACGCAATCGTCAAGCCACGGCAGTCGTCTTCCTCGACCCTGGCAGTCAAACTAGTTTTATCTCGGGATCTCTTGTTCGCCAACTTGATTTGAAGAAAGAGCAGTCTGAGAAGATGCGTGTCCATGTACTTGGTGGTGAAAAGAAAGAACCGTTATGTTTTGATTCTGCGCGATACAAACTACAACTTAAGAGATTGGATGGTCAATGGGAGAAAATTGAACTCAACTATATTGAAGAAATTGCCGCCCAAATGGAAACTCCGAAATACATAGGCGACATCTGCTCGGATAGTTACGTGTTGAGAATGGACATTGGAAAACCGGACATACTAATTGGAACGCGGGAATTTTGGAAGTACTTCATTGGCTGTAAGATGACCAACCATGGATTTACAGTCATCCGAACTGTCCTTGGACCTGTACTTGGGGGAGAAGTGAACTTACCTGCTCTGACTGGGACTTCCTCATCGTTAATGGCGGTCAATCCTTATAATCAAGAACAAATGCCTTCAGCAACGACAATCGAAGAATTTTGGTCTCTGGAGACTATTGGAATAAAGGACGACCCAGCACAAGACGACGACCAACTGGCGGAGAAAATGGTTGACAAGTCAATTCGGCAGTTGGAGGATGGGCGTTACTGTGTGAAATGGCCGTGGCGGGATCCTTGTCCGGAGTTACCATCCAATTTTGCTATGGCCTATCGACGACTGGTGGCTACACTCAATCGACTACGAAACGAGCCAAGTCAGCTTAAGAAGTACAACGAAGTTATCGACGAGCAACGACAACAAGGAATCATAGAACAAACAAGTTGCAGTCCGGGTAGCCGCGAGCACTACCTGCCTCACCATGCCGTCATCACTCCGAAAAAATTGAGAGTGGTTTATGACGCTAGTGCCCATCCTAAAGGCCAAGCTTGTTTGAACGACTGTCTCTATCGTGGACCGGTTTTGTTACCTGATCTGGCTGGTGTGCTTCTCCGTTTCCGTAACTGCTCAATACCAGTGCTGGCTGACGTCGAAAAGGCTTTTCTGATGATTGAACTTGAACCAGAGGACCGTGAGGTGTGCAAATTTCTGTGGGCGAAGGACCCTATGCAATCACCAACTGGCGAGAACTTGTCTGTTTATCGATTTTGTCGTGTGGCTTTTGGAGTGGTCTCATCCCCGTTTATGTTGGCGGCCGTTATCCGTGCTCACTTGGCTAAATTTGGACTCGAACAAGATGCCGTGTTATTCAGAAATGTTTATGTGGACAATCTGCTTATTGAGTGTGAAAGCGAGGAAGAAGCAAGAACTAAAGCCATAGCTGCTAAAGAATTGTTTAAACAAGCAAAGATGAACTTACGTGAATATATTTCCAGCTCAGCTGATGTCATGAGTGCACTGCCGGAGGAGGACCGACTTGAGCAAACACAAGCTAAAGTTCTTGGAATTAGCTGGGACGTTCAATCTGACGAAATATCCTTCGAGCTCCCGACGATCAAGAACGATTCACCTGTCACTCGTCGCACTGTTCTGAGTGTGCTTGCTGGAATTTTTGATCCGTTGGGACTTATTGGACCATGCACTCTGGAGGCAAAGAAGTTCTTTCAAAAGTTATGGGATGAATCTCATGGATGGGATACCGAACTGTCCATTGGAGAATCTGAACATTGGAAAAGAATTTGCGCAGATTGGAATGGGGCCATCATCAGACAGGAACGTTTCGTGCTTGGGAAGAATAACGACATACAAATACACGTGTTTACTGATGCTTCCGAGACTTCTTATGCTGCTGCAGTCTATTTAA